TCCCACTGAGCAGCCATCTTCGGACAAAACACGTGCTGTCGTTGGTCCTCAGAACTTATTTGGTTCGACTTCTATGCAACTTGTCTATTTGGGAAAAGCAATTCAAATGCCTATTGGGTATCTGGACGGGACGAAAAGCTAGCTGGTCGCATTCGCCGACGCGCCATTTCGCTATGCGCCTCTTGCAACAATTCCGCATACACATACCTATTAGGAGCAATGGACAGACGACGCCGGAGTCGTCGGTCGTCACCATTGGCCCCCAAAAATGCCAGATGGCAGGCTGTTTCTGGACCATTCTGGGACACAAAGCCAGGCCTGTCCCAATCAGACAGACTTGGTTATACTGCTTCGTCCACCCGTCGCTCAACCAGTCAAAAACTACGAGAGTCCGGTCGGATCCACCGTCCGCTGCGGCCACCAGGCCACACAAATCAGCTTCCCCTCACCACCAGCAACACCTTCGTCGCATATGGTAGCGCCTTGCATCATCAAATCCCATAAATTTCGTGCCGTTATGCATGAAGGGCTCACGACGGCCGCCTGCAACGCCTGTGTCGTCTGTGTGCTTAGATCCAAAGAAAAATCTGGCCCAATCTGAGATCTCGATCACTTCAGTCCGGCTCCGCCGAACCGCTCAACATCATTCACGTCGCCTATCATCGTAACGTCGATGCCGCTCGTGGCTGCGGTGTGCATCGTGTCTCCTTCGTGACGAGTCGTTCGACCCTCTGGATATGACCACCGGCTGGTGCAGCGGTCTCTTGAGAGGCTTGTCGGCCTCCTGAGCCCTAATCGCGGCCTGTCGCTCCCACATTTCTTTGGATTTCCTGCAGATATCGTCGATTTGTTCCTGTGGTAGGCGGCGGTAGTCAGTGGCTTACAGTTCTGCGCCAAATAAGTGCAAGCGACGACGAGGCTCACATCTGTCAGGCAGGGGCCTGGGGTAGTGATGAGGAAACCATCCTCTCCCTATTGATGCTGTGAGAGGCGTCTCGGGCATCTTGTCTGAGATGTTCACACCTCGTTTGTGTACGGTCTGACCGTCGCATCCGGACCAAGGTAGTAGGGAAGCTCTTGCGTGATGATCTTTTTGTGGATGTCCAACCTGGGAATCCAGTATCTGTTCATCTCTGACGACGAGGGCATGGCTATGGCGATTGTTCGAGCATGAAGGAGGTGATCTGTCTATCCGGAAACCCGGGGTGTATGAGATGGCGCATGCTTTTCTTGGTTGATGGTGATCAGGAGGACGACGACGGTATTTATCTTCGCCAACTATGCGACCATCAGGGCGTGCCAATCCTCACGCGCTGCATTCAAGTGGTGATTACGAGTGTACAAGTCGTATTATTATTGCACCAAGTGCAAGACAAGAAAAGCACTTTCACAGTCTTGCCCTTTTGGGTTCAGCTGTCGGCATCCTCACCGCTTCGAGTTCTCAGTCGTCAGAACCTGCCTCTGCTATGCCTGCATGCAAGGCCTTACGCCACATACCTTCATTGTCTTGACGGTTTCTCATAAGTGGGAACCATCCATCTGGATTGCGTTCCATCTCACAGGTCGGGGGGTGTGAGCCTGCAGTAGATAGGCAGAAAAGTGAGGCGGACGGCACCCACCCATGACAAGTCCGCCTCACACCCGCCATTCAAATCCCTCGCCACCACCAACCGCGAATCACATATGAACAAACCCCGTCATGTTCGGAATCACCACGAAATTGAATTCGATAATTTCGGCCGTTACCCCAGCCATCGAATCAGACGTCGGGCTCTCTCCATTCGTCACTTCTCGACTATGGATCATTCCGCTGCAAGATCCAATGACGACTCCCGGCTGCAGCTTCTGCAGGTCCGTCATTCTCGTCGTCGCCATCCGCGAACATGCTGATATGGATCTCGTCCTCGTGGCTTCCTGGTTTTTCTCTCAGCTTATGTTTCTATTCAGGGATGGACCTGGTGGGTGGGTTAGGTAAGGCGCCGTTGGTCACTCGCAGCCAAGGGTGCCGATCATGTCGATCGTGGTTTCTGACTTCAAGGCGAACATGCGGGGAGAAGTAACGGCGGCCACTTATTGTTCCAAAGGAGGTTATATATCAAGGATGTCGATTTCTTCAACAATCCGGATGAACCCTGGACCCTTCCCGTCAACACTGTTGGTCCCGGATTCCTGGAACCCAGGGCTGCCGTGATCGGCGCCGTCCGCGCCGGATTTGTCGGCTTTCGAAGTGCCGATGGATAGTCATCAGTGACCCGCCACCTCCTTCAAGACCTCGCCCCCTCCTTCTCCCCGCTGGTGGTGTGCTGTTCAACCTCCTTCCTAATGACGATCCACGATATCCGAGACAGCATACCTTTCAGCCGGATTCGATGAAATACGATAGCACACTACGCCCATCATGAATGTGACTCGACCATGAGGCTGCACTCACTGCACATTCGACACTATGAATCCTTGTTATCACACGAGGCGGCTTCGCTGGTGGTACCATACGTGCTCGGAATAATCTGACGCATCTGGGGGGCATCGATTCGGTAACCCAGACGGCGTGCGCTCTCGGTATATCCTTGATCGTACGATGAAGCGAGCAATCTAAGGGTGCATACACTGGAGCGATGCAACGTTCTGCCGAGGACGGGCTGGGCCCCATTGCGACGGCAGAACCCCGCACTGTTTCTGCTCGGTCACCAGAAGGATTCGTTTTAGCCCGCTCATGGCTCATCACTATCACCTTCGCTTCCAGGATATCTTTGAGGCAGATGGCAGCCTCACTACCGTGCCAGGATCAAGGAATTGACCTTGCCAGCAGCCGCACAGCTTAGCCAGGCGGACTCAGCTTCTCCAACCGACGTGTCATCAGGTGGAGAGGACCATCTCAGACAACGCCTTGTTCCATTGCCAGGTTGGCATCGATACCAATGCCTCATTTTCACGTATCTATGCGATGCTTTTGCTGAAGTGCTAAACACGGTTGAAGTGCTCACTTTGACTGGGTGAGGTCAAGATTAGGATGGGGTCTGTGGGCTGCTTGAGCCGCACGAGGGCTTAGCCTGCCAGCCCCTCTTGCTAGTGCGCCTAAGGTAGTTGGCTCGACCGAAAGAGCATATTGACCAGGGACCTCTTGATGGGGCCGGCGAGGGCGCGCAAGAGTTGTGACGAAGGCCACCAATCACCGCGGAGTCACCATCGAGCCGCGGCCGTTGCTGCTATCCGCATTGTAAATCATCAACTCCGGTTTGCTGTCGACCCACCAAGCCTCAAATAACAGACATGACTTAGGTTTCCATGGCCGACACTGGTCGGCACCTCGTCCTTCGATACTGACCCATTCCCACAGTTGCATGCTAGGCATGACAGATGGGCACAGCCTGCTCATGATTTATACTGCATCCCTGGTCTCCTTCCTCTGTGGCCTACCTGTCTGGTCTACCTATCTGGTCTCCCTTCTCTCTGGGTTCCTTCCTCTATGTTCAAACTTTCGATAAGGGTCAGTGCGGCGCCGTCGATTAGAGCTGGCTGAGGTTCTTATCGCGAGCCACTCCATTGTCAGCCAATGATGACATGCTATGTAGTCCATAGCATGGCCGACTCTTCCTACACCATAACTCAGACGAGCATGGTTGAGTTTGATCATGATCATGTGAGCGTTGCAATTCGCTGGAAGTTTTGCCGCGTTGCTCAAATGAATGGGAAATTGAGTTAGATTACCCATCGGCCATCCAGCGACGCAAAGCGGCAATCAGGCTAAATCTCATCATACGATAACCATACTTTCAGAACCTCACGTTCCTTCTTCAGAAGCCCGGAAGTTGCAATTGTGGTCCGTTAATTGATACCAAGCTTCTCCTGTCTCTTTTCGGGGGATTGAGGCTGCCTTTTCTGAGACTTGGCTTCCATATCAGTGCGCGTTGGTAGCCAAGCCCGGCTGTTATGAGTCGACGACGTCGGATTCGGGTCCTGTTCGTCCTTGTAGGCTGCCACTCAACTGGGTTTTGAGAATGCGAAGTAGACCTTGTGTCTGGAGAGACAATGTGCCCAGTCCGTTTAGAGTCAAGCTGGGTTTGGCTGGGTTTGGCTGCGCAGCCTCCCCAAGACGGTATTTTGTCTTTTTCCAAATGAAGTCACACCCACGATTTCAACATCTGATACTTGTTGAAGAAGCCGTATGAGAGAACGAAACGCACGAAAGCATCAGAGTATTTAATCTTCTGCTTTCCTGACGCTCATCCGGCGCAGCTGAGATCTCGAGTTGAACTCTCTCAGCTCTTAGTTGTCGAGTTCTCTGGTCCCTTGATCAGAGATACCGTCTCGCCATGCATCCCATATCCATCTTGATAACACTCCTAGTTGCCTGCGCTTCCGCGACGGCTCAAGATCAACCTTCCATTCCTCTTACAACCCCAACAGCCATTAGGTACTCAACTCAGACTACAACTATCACTCCTACCCCCAAGCTGGCCTTGGCTCCGACCTCCCTCGTCACGATTACAATCACAAGCTGGACGACAACCGTCGTGACAGTCACGGACGTCGACACTGTCATCGAGACCGTGACACAATGGGTCCAGCCACCGACGCCCACGTCCACGGTTCGTTTGACAACGTCAACAAGCTCCGCGACATCGCGGTCGACGACGCAGGCTCCGGTGCCTGAGCCGACGCAGACAAAGTATGGGCAATGTGGCGGGTCGGGATATACCGGCGCGACGAAGTGCGCGGCTGGGTCGAGTTGTTCTGCGGTCTCGCCGCCTTGGTATTATCAGTGTTTGTAGCTAAAGATATGCTCCGTGGAATCGAGCAACCCTGAAACGGCAAAATCATATATCTCAATTTATCGAGACTCTTCATAGTACACAGCTAGTTGCTCCCATACTCTGCAGCTTCGCGAATGTTTCGAATGTCCTCCCGGCTTATGAGACCATTTTATTGGCTTATGGGACGATCCCGCCGCCAACACACCTTCAAGCGTGGACTTCTAGCCTCCATGTCAAACTCTCATCATGGACCCTATTTCGGCCTTTGGACTTGCGGTCAACATTCTTACCGTTATCGACCTATCGGTGAAGGTTATCTCGACTGCCTCTGAGATCCGGAGCTACGGCGAATCAATCACAACTAGGGACCGGGCTGTAGTGGCGCAACATTTCGAGTCTCGTTGTGAGAAGCTCATCGAGTCAACCAAGGCATCGTCCATACATTCGGATCTCCAAAATCATGCTGTCATTTCCAATGACGATGATGGGGCATTACACCAACTCGCAGAAGAAGCCAAGGCTATCGCTAGGGATATCCAACATGGCCTTTTCAGGCGACAGACAGGTCAAACACTGTTGAAAAGTCTTCGTGACGCTGTTTCAAGTGTCTGGGGGGAGCGCGAGATGAAAGAAAAGACACAGCGACTCAAGGAAATGCGGTCTGAGATTCAGTCTGGATTGATGGTGTCCATCAAGGCCAGTATCGACGCTGCCGGTTTCCGATGGAACGAAATGTCGCAGAATGTCGATGACTCTACTCAGCACATTATCGGAACTCTCTTATCAGACAACGACACCATCCGGTCTGACATGGAACGACGCGTTGAGGAACTCAACCAGGAGGTTATAAGCCATTTTGATCTCGCCTCACATTTGGCTAGTCAGCGCCATGATGAACTTCTCAATGCCATAGCTGGGGGCAGTGGCTTGGCTACGAGCGCAGTTTCGGAAAATCCAGCTAAGATTACCGATCGTATACTGGGAAAACTCTGGTTCACGACAATCGACGACAGGTATGAAGATATCCTTCCAGCCCACAAGAAAACCTGTGAGTGGATCCTCTCAAGAGACCTTCGACTTCATTCCAGCTCCACCTTCATCGAATGGATAGAGAACGGCACGGTTGTATATTGGATAAGTGGAAAGGCCGGCAGTGGCAAAAGCACTCTCATGAAGTATATGGCCCGCGATCCCCGGACCGAGATGTTGCTCCAATCTTGGGCTCGTGGCCAGCCTCTAGTGACAGCGAAGTACCCATTTTGGGACCTGAGCTCAGATATTCTCCCAAAGTCACTCGATGGACTCTTTCGGGGTGTCCTGCGCGAGATCATCAGGAAAGGAGCATCATTTGCCCCGTTGCTCTTTCCAGATCAATTCAAACAAGAAAATGGTTGGTCGGAGCCCTTTCCGACCTCGAACGAGTTGAAGAGAGCCTTCGAACGGCTCGTTTCTCTCGAGTCATCGCCCAGTCAGGTGGCTCTCTTGATAGACGGTCTGGATGAATACAGCGCTCCACGCGGCGCACAGCACGACCTCGCTGAGACTCTTAAAAGAGCAGCCCGTTCCAAGCATATGAAGATCATTGCGTCAAGTCGACCAGAGACCGTATTTGAGAAAGCATTTGCGGATTGCAAAAAGCTCTATGTCCACGACATGACCAATCAAGATCGAACGATATTTGTTGCCGATAAGTTGCACGAGCACCAGAGGACATCCCATCTGGTGAAGATCTCGGGTGGCAAAACGGAACTGAATGATTTGATCAAGTCTACTGTCGAGAAATCAGAGGGCATATTCTTATGGTTGCGACTGGTTACTGAAGCTCTTGTTCAAGAACTGGATGTTTGCGAGTCTATTGGGGATCTTGAGTCTATCCTCATTCAATCCCCGCGGGGTCTGGAAAAGTTTTTCATTCACATGATGCGACGCATGTTGAATGAAAATGAAAGACGCGGCTTCGAATGTCTTTGGCTTATGCACCGATCTACCAGCTTGAAGTATAAGCAATCGCCTTGTCGATTCCGCATATATGAATCCGAAACGAAATACTCCAATGACTACTCATTCAATTTAACGGCGTTCTGCATGGACGGCGCGCAAATGCCGCTTGGCATGGTTCTGAAGACCCAAGTCGGCCCCCTGAGTTCTGCGGCCGCGAAAGACGCCGTCGCAAAAGTCAAAAACAGGCTGAGGAGTTGGTGTGCAGGACTACTGGAGGTTGATCATTATTCAAAGCCCACCGGGCGTATGTTGGAGGATCCAGAAGTCTCATTCATCCACAGATCAGTGTCAGAGTTTCTTGAACTACCGTCAACCTGCTTGGACCTGGCAGAGGACTTGGCTGAGACTTCTTTCAATGTGAACTTCATGTTGATGCAAGGGCTACTGATCAAGCTGAAGAGACACGGAAATGCATGGGATCTCCATTCTAATGGCAAGATTTGGGTCTTTGTGGAGCTCATCATGAGGCTTGCCCAATTCTCAAACGGCGACAGACGAGAGGAGACTCATGCTTTGCTGTCTGAACTGGATAGAAGCATGAAGTCTCTTGTTGAAATTCGTCAGAGGAGCTCATCCCTCGAGCTAGCATGTCGAAGTCACCTTGATTGGACGTGCTATTTTCCATGGGCAGCGCGAAAGGATTTACCAATCCCCAGAACACCCTGCGATTGCGTTCAGAAAAGCCCGGGCTTTCTATCCATTGCAGTCGAAAATGGGCTTGCAGAATTCGTTTTAGACACCTTGGACAGCTCCAAGATCAAGCGCTTGGTGAAGATAGCCATGGGTGTTGCGCTGCTCAATTCAGCATGCAGGCCGCCACCATTTTCTCTCAGGATTCCCGGCACGATTAGGCCAGTAATCATACATAAACTTCTCGACTTAGGTGTGAACCCTAATCAAGTCTGTCATGATGGAGTTGGACAAAATACAACGCCGTGGAAGAGTATGCTGAAGACCGTCAATGATCTTGAAATCATGACTGTTGAAGGGGCTCGGCAACTTGCAGACATACTCGCGGCAATGATCAGGCACGGAGCAGACCAACATATTAGGATCAGAGCCGATCCATTGAGCCAGGAAGACGACACAGACTCCGATACTTCTACTGATTCCATCATCTCCAGCCCAGACAATTGCACAGTTCCCCATACTGCTGATCAGAATGATTGGAAGCCTTATTTCGAATCTCACCGCCCGAAGTCTGCATTATCGGGAATCCGGATTGACGTGCCGATTGACTCCGAAGAGGAGTCGCTGCACGCGCCTAGTAGCGTTGATAGTATCTTATCTGTGCCGTCAGGAGATTCGCATTTCCTGTCTAGGTATTGGAAGGCAAATTCCCTCACCGTCCGCGATATCATTGAGCAGTCATTCATTACTAAGCCTTCTGTCCGACGGGAGATTTATGAATTTACGCTTCCGGGAAAATTTGTTCCCTTCGAAGAGATTGATTCAGCATGGAAGATAAGAGACGAGTATTGGGGAGTCAAGTACGGGGCTACGTATCCTGATGACGCCCATCCGCCAGACCTTACCTCATCGGAAAATGAGAGCATACGGGATATGGGTCTGGGTTTGCTGCAGCTTCTGGATCAGAGGAAGTCTACTCAGAACCTTGAATCAAAAGATGTTCAGAGCGTGTTAGTGAAGAATACTGATTCAGAACCTACACAGGGCGTACCAGCGAAGCAGCCACGGATTTCGATCCGGAAGCTGGCAAAACTGCATGCAATGAAGGCAAGATTACTAGCACGGTTTCGTAGAACCAGAAAGTGAAGCCGAAAGCCTGTCCTCATAGAGCAGATAGAATCAGGAGGAACATTGATGGCTGGGTGTTACTGGCCGGACGGGTTTTCAACGCGAACCGTTCTGACCAGAATCCCACGATGACTTTTTAACAACCTGGATAGCTATCAAACCGAACCTTTGGAAAACTCTATCGCCCAGGAAGGTATAAGAGGACGAACCGCCCCATCAACCGAAATCCGTCGAAGGACTTTTTACTCCCCAGCATTCTGTCGGTAGTCGTGTCATATCCAAACGGTCAACATTTACACTGCAACGCTCATCAATGAGTGCAAAATGGCTACCACCTTCCACTCGTTTCCAGACTTGCAAGCTGAGATTAGGCTCGCGATCTGGGAAATGGCAATCGCACCCATAACCTCCACGCCCTGCGCTTGTGCTGATCGCTTTGTCTCCTTTGAGAGGTACGAGAACCCAGAGTCGAGGAGTAAGCACGATGCGGCCCGTCCTTCGGAAGACCATCGACCTAGATATCTGTTCCACGACCCTTCAGCATCCTTCGACTTTGGATTATGGACTGCGAGCGCCGAGTCGAGGCAAGTCATCTCCAAACAAGTCCTAAAGCACGCCCCGGGAAAAGAGCTCGGAAAACATGCCACGCTCGGCTGCATGCATATCAACGGAGAAGATATCGTCTTTGACGTGTTCCACCATGCAGTTATCACTTGCTTCCGCGTACCAGAAGACGAATGCCTCGATGTCGAAGAAGCGCTGGAAGCTGTACCATACACCCGGGAAGGATTCGGAACACGACCTACGAAGCTTATTGCGTTCGAACTCGACGACTCGTGGGATGAATCGTGGGATGAATCGTGGGAGGTGAATCTTAGTACATTGGAAACCGACCCGCACGTTTTGGAAAATTTGATGAAGATGCCCGGGTCCCAAAGCGCGTTTTTCAGAACTATACACAAAATCATTAGGGAGAGGCTAGATTGTCGGCTTTATCTTTTCGAAAGCAACGAAGATGCTTGTGTCGGGCCTCTCAACGAGTGTCAGCTTCAGTCTATTGACGAATGGGAATATTTCGAGTTCCACAGCAACGGGGACAAATTTGCCTTTGAAAGTTGTTCAATGTTCCTTGGCGACGCTTAGGACAGAATGTCCAACATCGCTAAGTTGTTGATTGCCCTGTTGGCGAGCAAAGGAAGAAAAGGAAGAAAAGGCCACTGGGACCCCGATGGTGCATATAAGAAGAAGATCTGAAGATCTTCTTGCCTGCATGAACGCGTTTAGACCAATGACGCTTGTACAGCAACTCATCTGCGGAGATTTAGGCATCGAAGCTAGAGTACTTGAAACTTCAATGAGCACATCGAGCGACATGCTTCGCAATAAGCCATCTATATACTGAGACGAACTTGGTATATGAACCAACAAACGATTTCATTTGCTACTCTTTTGAAAGCCCCAGACGTGTTTCCGTGATCTGAACAATCTCTCTCCAGTCCATCATCGCTCCCGAACCAGTATCTCCACAAGCTAATGTCTTCTCCATGGGCTGCAGCACCTCAAACCAGTTCCACTCCCGGAGGGCACTCAGCTGCTTCCCTGTGATAGGGTGGTTATGCATACTTTGATATAAGTTAGCTTGGCTTCTCTCCGAGTGCATCAGCGGTGAACCTACGCAGAGTTCATCGCGCTGGCGACGAGGATCCTCTTCTTCCGTCCGTCTATCAGACCTTCTGGGTCCCACGCCCGAACAACACTAAGCAACAGGCTAGAAGAAAGTTAGCATCGCGCGGGACAGGCCGAAATTGAAATGGGGCCCTACTTGTCCGAAAAGCCGTTCACAATCTTGGCGAGGGTATTCGCGCTCAACGGTGCGATGAGCATCATGTCCGCCCAGCGCCTTAACTCGATGTGCAATATGCTAGCGCCGCGTCTCCATGGAGAAACCCATTCCTGTTCATCAAGATGAATTCCGTCTACGTTCTTCATCTTGCGGATCGTGGCTAGTGACGGCTGCTCTTCCGTATTGCCGGTCAAGAACTGTGCCGCGGAAGCAGTGAGGATGAGTCTGATGGAGAGATTTTCATGTTTTCCGAGCGCTTCGATGATATTTGGAATCTTTATGGTTGCTACTGAGCCTGAGGCGCAAAGTAAGAGGTGCACCTTGCCGTCGTCCCGAGACGCTGCGACTTCTGCGGCGGGGTCAGACATTTATGCGTCTTTCTGAGGAGGTGTGGCTGAACAGAGTCAAATATCAGGGCTGCTCGAGTTCTCGTGTATCTGTATTCAGTGTTAGCACCGTTTCCATGGCCCCCTCCCTCGAGCAAGCACCAAGGGTTGCGGCTTTCTACCGAGAAGATGGGCTTCGACTCATCAACACAACATGAGCCCCACATCCGAGACTTAAGGGAATGTAACGTACACGCCGGTATGACTTGAACTCTTCTTGTGGTGCGCGATGAATGGTTCAAAATGGAAAGGCTTCGTCAATCGTGAGTCAATAAAGTAGAAATTTCAGAAAGTGTAGGTAGCCGGTGAAAGAAAATTGGTTTGGGATGAGGGAGATATTGTAAGTTGAATCACCAAACGCAGATGACTAAGTCGGACACTAAGGCCCAAGTGTGTGGGCCACCCGGCCGGCCCCGCCACCGCGGCCGGACCGGCTGTAAAATCAACTGAGCTGTCTTTCTCGGCTGATTTCTAATATTCTCAACGAACAGATCCTTCTTGAATTTGCCCTGGAGAGATCAAATGATTTAAATCTAATGATGAATGTCGCATTCTGTACAAACGCAGTATGAGAGTGTCTGTGGTATTCCAACACCATCTGGTAGTCAGCTTCACAGTGCAGCACTCACTAGAAGCCTCCCCCCCCCAAAAAAAAAAAAAAAAAAAAAAAAAAAACCTAGGCCATGTATATCAGAATTTTGATGGCAGAAAAATGAGCCGCAATTGATGAATAATGCATCAGAAATGACTTCGTGATGAAAGAATTGGATGAACCAGCACATTGAGACAAGACGCAACGGCCGCTTACCTAATGATGCTGGACCGACCTCACTGATCTCATTGGCCAATCACATGTCGACCGCTCATCCCAGGCATTTAGCGGGGTCCCAAATTTTCCAGGACTGCAAGGTGCAGGCCAAAAAAAAAAAAAAGTTGCTGTAAATCTTCCAGGTTGCTATCGGACCAAGCGAGAAACCTCCGAACGGGAAGAAAAATCACCACATCATGGCGGCGGGCAGCACGTCTTCCTCCCTCACATCGACATCGCACAGCTCCCACACCCTCTCCTTCGCGCCCGGCATGGTCGCCCACATGCCCCCAATGACCGGCGCCAGCGCCGCCGACGTGCGCGCCCTGCTCGACAACATGGGCCCCGCGAACCGCCACGCCTTCCTGCAGCCGCCGCCCGCGATCCCGTCGGCCTCGCTGCAGGTCGTCAAGGACACGCTGGACGCCTTCGCTGGGCAGATCAGCGACGAGCAGCTGCGGCTGCTGAAGGAGGCCACGAAGAAGCGCAAGAGGGCCGACGCCGACCGGGCGGACGTGCTCAAGATCCGCAAGGTGCACGTCGACGGGTTCGAGACGGGCCAGGTCTGGCAGCAGGCGCGGCGGATCATCAAGAGCGCTCTGAAGCACTCGCAGGAGACGTTGCAGGAGCTCGAGGACCGGAACGAGGTTGTGGCGAACGGCGTTGGACAGGACAGCATTGCGGAGTCTGACGAGGAAGGCTCTGAGCTCGACGACGACGAGGAGGGCTCTGATATTGAAGAGGAGCTTTCGGGATCCGATCTGGAGGGACTCGAAGACGAAGACGAAGACTTGGAGGAAGGGTCCGACATCGAGGGCCTGACCGGAGACTTGGAAGACATGGACGAGGAGGAAGGCGAGGACGACGAGGACGACGAAGAGGAGGATGATGAAGAGGAGTACGTCGAGGACCCGAACGGACTCAACGACGGCTTCTTCTCCATCGACGACTTCAACAAGCAGACACAATGGTTCGAGGAGCAAGACGCAAAGGGAGACCCCAACACGGACGCCGCCAGCGACGATGAAGAAATCGACTGGGATGCCGACCCGATGGCCGCTTCTTCCAGCAAGTCAAAATCTACAAAACACGCCGACGAGATGGACGAGGATGCTGAAGACGCTGAAGATGTCGAGGAGTCTGACGAGGAGGACGGCCCTACATTCGGTGACATGGACCTCAACGCCCCCGAAGGCGCCAGCGACGACGAAGACATGGACGAGGACATGGCTGATGAGGGAGAAGAGTTCAACGCCAACGGCATCTACTACAAGGACTTCTTCGCGCCACCGGCGAAGAAGTGGAACAAGGACAAACCGAAGAAGAAGAAGTCGGTCCGCTTCGCCCCCAAGAAGGTCAGCGAGGAGGACGTTGAGCGCGCCATGGAAGACGTCAAGAGAGACCTCTTCGACGACGACTCGGACCACGGCGACGACTCTGACGACGCTCTCTCCGACGTCTCCGCTGGAGACCCGCGGTCCCGCAGGTCAGCCCACGAGCGCCGCCAGGCCAAGCTCGCCGAGGAGATCCGCAAGCTCGAGGCCGAGTCCGTCGCCAAGCGCTCGTGGACGCTGTCCGGAGAGGCCTCGGCCGTGGAGCGCCCGACCAACTCCCTGCTGGAGGAGGACCTCGCCTTCGAGCACGTCGGCAAGCCCGTGCCCGTCATCACGGCCGAGGTCAGCGAGGGCATCGAGGACCTCATCAAGCGCCGCATCCTCGCGCAGGACTTTGACGAGGTGATCCGCCGCCGCCCCGGCGCGGAGCTGCCCGAGAACACGCGCCGCGGGCTCATCGAGCTCGACGACTCCAAGGGCAAGGGCCTCGCGGAGGTGTACGAGGAGGAGCACCTCAAGAACGCGGACCCGGAGGGGTACGTGTCCAAGTCGGACGAGAAGCTGCAGCGCGAGGAGAAGGAGATCGAGGGCATGTGGAAGGAGCTCAGCGCGCGGCTCGACGCGCTGAGCAGCTGGCACTACAAGCCGAAGCCGGCGGCGCCGACGCTCACGGTGGTGTCGGACGCGGCGACGATCAGCATGGAGGACGCGCAGCCGACGACGGCGCAGGGCGTCAGCGGCGGGCAGAGCGCGCTCGCGCCGCAGGAGGTGTACAAGGCCGGCAAGGAGACGGCGGAGCGGGGCGAGGTGGTGGGCAAGGACGGGCTGCCGGTGGCGCGGCAGGAGATGTCGCGCGAGGACAAGCTCAGGCGGCGCAGGCGGGAGAAGGAGAGGATCCACAAGGCGGGCGGCCTGGACGCGGCCAAGAAGCCGCTCGGCAAGAAGGCGCAGATGCAGAAGGACACGCTCGCGGACCTGAAGAAGGGCGGCGTCAAGGTCATCAACCGCAAGGGCGAGGTCGTGGACGTGGACGGGAACAAGGCCAAGGCACAGGCGCAGGCGACGAGCAGCAGCTTCAAGCTGTAGAGGGCGCCGTCGCTGTTGGATGGTGTAAGCATGTGGATGGAGTTGTCACGGGCGTTGTCGGTCATTCCTCCTGGGCGCGATATAGAGCCCAGAGTAATTTGCATGTATCGCAAAACCAAAAGCATTCATCTTTCCGTACCTTGCTCTGTCTGTTTCCGTATGAGACGAATAGGAAGCCAGGCAATTCGCAACGAAAGCACATGTCTGTTCTCCCACACGTCGTCCACAATCCCAGCCCATTATCGACGGTGGTAATGACATGGTCGACGGCGAAATGACACACAGAAACTCCAGGCCTCAGCATCCGACGCCGGCAGGGTCTGCAGCATCGCCAAGGTTTCTTTTCTCTCTCCTAGACCAAACCCAGCGCCGAATGCTCTCCGAAGACGCAGGTCGCAGCAGACCCCGCGAAGAACGATTGAGGCCCAATCGCAGCCGGACCTTCCCAAATCGCCGGTCGGATCTTGGGGTCGGCAGAGGCCGGGTGAGTCGTCCTCTCCAGTGTGCGCGCGGCAAGACAAGGGTGTAGTGGTGGCCACCCACGCTGCCAAACCCAAGGGTCCAGATGGCAGCAGCCAGCAAGGCATTCCACCAATGAAAACCGGACCAAAGCCGTTTGTCACTGACATTAAATTCGGTCAGCACCGCCCAAACATTCGCTGTCCACAGTGCTCTCCTAGCGCTTCCTGCACCGCCCACCTGACGATTCAGGGCGGATGGCAGGGGGAGTGAAGAAAAACCCTTCACCTTGTGGGAGAAGATTTAGGTGGGCAATTGGAAATCAGAAATCGTGAGGCCTTTGGTTGGGCCGTCGCCCTTCAACCGGGTGCAGTAATGCAAGGTCATTGATGGTCATCTTCCCCCTTCTGCAAACCCCTGGTGCACCACCCCTTGGTCTCTCCCCTACAGCACGCTGCGTAATGGGCCCCGTCCATGACATCGCCCTGCCCGTGGGTTTTTATTGTGAGCGCCTGCGTCTTGCGTAAATGGGGGCGGGGAGAGGGTACTGATTGACTGGAATGGTAGAAGGGTGACGTTCCGCTTTCGGACCCCTATTTTGCAACCCCCAAGGTCAGGCACAGCAAAAGGCAGAAAAAAGCACAACGACCCAATAACTTTGTCGCATCCGTAAGCAAGAGATCTGATTAATGAGCTTGGGTTCATCGGAGTGGACAGAACATTTGCTTCTCCCCCGTCTCGCCGTTCTCCGGCCATTCTCCGTAGCAGTCAGTACCTTGCTTCCAACAACTTCTTTTATCAGCCGCCTTTTCCTTTCTCCCCCCTTCAGTGTGTTCCTCCCACGCATCCTGCCTGCCTGCCTGCCTATCCTGCACCTTACGTCTGCAATACCCACTGCCCACTGCAAGACCAGTCCCCGCGGAATCGTCCACTTCACTGGCAACCTACGCAATACCGTGTAACTAGGCCTCCCGATTACGGTGCCCACCCCGCCAACCCCTCACCATTCCACGCTTATCAAGCACCGCAAACTGGACAGTACGCTACACAGTTTTCCTCCGAATTTGCCTTTGACTAATCCCCTCCCAAGAGAAGCCATCCCATCCCATCCCATCCAGTTAATCACCTTCCTCTCTCTCCTCCGTCAACCTCCAGTCGGAAATTTCCACCAGCCTACCCCCAGAGCCTTTCCACCTTCTTCACCATTCATTCAATTAACGCCCCCTGAACCTCCAACAAAAGCTCCAAACCCGCGTGAACAACACACCTCAACATCCCACCGTCACACGCGACCCCTTCTCCTCTCCCGCAGGAAAAAAAAACCAACAACCACAGAAACAATGGCGCCCTCAATCATAACCCTCGACACAACCCCCGACTTCGACTTCACCCCCTCCGCTCTGCCCCCGTCAGCAGCGGCGCCCGCGGCCACCCCCAAGCAACAGCAACGAACCCTCCTCCTCGCGCCCCCCTCCCTCTCCTCCGCGCCCAACAAGCTCTCCGCCGCCCTCGCCTCCCACGACCGCGCCGCCACAGACCTGCAGATGCTCGACCGCCTCTCCGCCCGCCTCGTCGCCCTCCCCGAGTCCGCCTACGACCTCGTCCTCGTCCTCACCGACGCCGACGGCTCCCGCGTCGAGTCCACCCGCCTCCTCTCCGACCGCGCCGTCCTCTCCGCCGTCGCGGAGGCCCTCAAGCCCGCCGCCCGCCTCCGCGCCCAGGACGGCGGCAACCTCGCAAACGACCCCGCCGTCGCCCGTGAGGCCGTCCTCGCCGGTCTTGTGGCGGTTGGTGGTGCTTTCGAGAAGCCCGACTACGACGAGGCGCCGGTTACTCTCTCCTTTGGCAAGAAGAAGACTGCTGCCAACAGCAATGGTGCCGTGTCCCTCAACGGCGGTGCTGTGTCTCTCAACGGAGGAGGCGCCGTCTCGCTTAACAGTAACGGCTCCGTGTCACTGAGCAGCAAACCCTCCACCGCCCCAGCCGTCTCCGCGCCCCCGGGCGTCGGCTTCGTCGACTTCAGCGACGACCTCGACATGGACGACGACGACGACGAGCTGATCGACGAAGACGCCCTCCTCACAGACGCAGACCTCTCTCGCCCCCTCAACATCCGTACGTTTCACCGAACCCAATCCCCAAAAGACCAGCACCATCAAGAAGACGTTTTTGACTAACACCTTTCTCAAACAGCCCCCGAATGCGCCCCCAAGGCCGGAAAACGCCGCCGCGCCTGCAAAGATTGCACCTGCGGCCTCGCAGAGCGTATCGCCGCCGAAGACGCCGCAACTCGCGCCGCCGCCGACGCAGCCCTCGCAGCTGCTGCCGCCGCGCCCGTCAAGCTCGACACGGACGACCTCGCCGAGGTCGACTTCACCGTCCAGGGCAAGGTCGGCTCCTGCGGCAACTGCGCCCTCGGCGACGCCTTCCGCTGCGACGGCTGCCCGTACATCGGCCTGCCCCCCTTCAAGCCCGGCGAGGAGGTGCGCATCCTCAACAACGATATCCAACTGTAATGCGAAGCTTTCTCTCTATCACGAAATTCTGTTTTATTGGGAGTGGCATATCACGGGGAGTTTCAATCATTTTTTTGGCACAAATCGGATCACGCAGAAGCCTCTGGTACATACATACCTTTACAGCAGCTTGTGCATACATGCATTTTCTGGATTGGGGGGAAAGGGAATTCGGCGGGGGGATATCACGGCAGGCGGCAAACGCCAGATTGGGCGCTTCTCATTAGAAAAAAAAATTGTCTTGAGGTGTTTGAGGCGTATGAAAAACACGGGGCAGCGATATATATAGGAGGACACTGAATGGATCAATCACACCGCCACCCACCAGCATGGGGATGGGCAAACGAAGCAAAGGCATTTTGTAGACCGTAACCAAACGATAAAAATAGCATTTCGCTAGAGACAACATTTTGCTCTATACTTGATGATACACATACAACTCCGTCCCGTGCTGAATAAATCCGAGTAGTAGTGGTGGTGGTCGTAGTCGTAGTAGTAGTAATCTGGGGCTCCCTTTTGTTTTTGTGATGCGCTAAACTTCCCATGCATTGATCCAAGGAGCCGTAATAGTAGTTCAACCAACCCGAGCCGTTCATTGCCTTCCCAGGCTGTCCGGTTCTTACCTCGAGCGGCTGCCGTTGGCCGCCCCCGAGGGCTTCTTCTCCTGGGGCTCGTCGTCGCTGTCCCCTCCGACGCTGTACCGATCCTTGTCCATCTCGTGGGTCGGGGTTGTCACATGCAGGTCGTCCAACTCGCTCTCGTCAAAGTCGCCTACCTCCACGTCCCGGCCGCTACGCCTGTCACGGAAACCATCGAGGCCCCGCGTGCCGCCTCTCTGGCTCGTTGCCGGTGGGCCGCCCATGAGACCCTGGTAGCCCCTGCGCTTGCGACGCTCGCGCCAGATGTACCAGCCCCAGACGCTGGCGGCAATGACGACGATGACCAAGACGATCTCGCCTGAGCGGTAGTATGCCTTCCACTTGGCCTCGTCCAGCTTCTTTTGCGTCTCTTCATCGGTGTTGGTGCTGTTGCCGATGCCGCCGACCGATGTGGCGGGGCCAGTCTCACCGTCCAGTCGGGAGTCGGTAGGCGTTCCGCCAACGGAGCTGATGTCGACCTTCATGAAACGGTCAAGCATGTCGCGGGAGCGGCGGGCGTAGTCGAAAGGAACCATGTGGGAGGAGTTGTAGAAGAGGATGTAGGTGAGGTTGCGCGCCTCCTGCCAGAATCCCGCAGGCTCGCCTTCCACAGTCCAATCGCGGCGCGGCGCCCAGTTTCCGGGTGAAATCTCGAATCCCTTTCCGCCGTTCCATTCCATGTCGCCAATCATCTGCTCAGTTCCCATATGGTTGCAAATGAGGTCCTCGGCACCGGAGAAGAGGATGACGGGAACCTCCTTCAAAAGGTCGGGCAAGAAATCTCTCGAAGGCTTCGAGTTCTTGGCTCTAAAGGCAGCGCCAACCGCGCCGTTGCACTCCTTCCAGCCGGTGTTCTTTTGAGGGTTGATGTGGAGAGCGCTGACGACGTCGGCTCTTCTGAGGTAGGGAGTAACGTTGACCAAGTCGGGAGGCCAGTTCATACCGCACGAAGGGTACGTGTCCTTGAGGCGGATGTCGTACATGTTGATGCAGTCGCGCTGGCCCTTGGCGTTCACCTTGGCCGTCTCGGCGAGCAAATCCTGCAAGACAGTTTCGCACTCGGAAAAGTCCACAGTATTCTCGACGGCAAGCGATGTTCGGCAGATGCGCCATTGCTGCTCAAGCTTCAGAGCGACGGGCGAGCCCTTCTCAATGAGCTTCCTCTCGTAGGCATACTTGAGGTAGGCATCGTACTGCTCCTTGGGAGAAATCCAAGCGTTTCCGAGCAGGAGACCCTGCAAGTGCCAGATGGTCTTTGTTCCGGGCTTCTTGTTCCTCTCGAGCATCGCCTTCGCGATGTAAGGAATGTGCTGGCCAGCGTATGATTCACCTGCAATGTAGATCTGTTCTCCGTCAGCTCCGGTCTCTTGGTATGGTCTGGTTTGTTCGGACTTACGTCGTCATGCTCGTACTCGGGGAACATGGCGAACCACTTCTCGAGGAACTTGACAAATTGCTCGGCCATCTCGTCGAGCTCGTGCAGGTATGCGTTGGTGTCGACATAACTGAAACCGGTTCCAACGGGGTTGTCGACGAAGAGCAGGTTCGCGAACTCGTTCCAGGAGCCGTTATTGTAGGTTAGGGTGTCCTTATCCTTGACTCTGTAGGGGCCAATCTCCATCAAGGCACCGTCTTCGGAACTGCAGCCAGGGCCGCCGTTTAGCCAGATGACGGTGCGCTGCCTGTTTGCGATATGCTGGTTCTGGAAGTGCCAGAAGAAGAGGTTTCCGTTGTGCTCGGGGGTGACTTCAACGTGGCTGTGATGGAACGGGCGTCAGCAGGAATAACTTCACCAAGCGGCGAGACGGAGGCGTCGGGGGAAATCATGTGCTTACCCTGCGTGCATCTTGATGAATGGCTCTTTCGGGGCGCCGGGCAAATCGTGAACGAAGTAGTCGGCCTGGCTCTGGGCGAGCACTGGTGCGGTCCATGATGCCAGCGCAAGCACCAGCGCGGACATCATCGGTAGGATAGCCATGGTTGGGGAAGTGTGTCCTCCCCAAGGCTACCTTTTGATGGGGGTATTAGACAGAAAAAGGTTACGAGCGTGACCCGATCTGTGATTGCATGGAGACTCTCTCTTCGCCGATGAACACAAGCAAAAAAAGAAAAAGAAGGATGGTTGAAGTGAAGTCTAGGTGGAGGGAGGGAGGATTCGGATTGTGGAAGGGAGATGGGGAAAAGAAGATGCGATGCGCGAACTTGATTGAATTCCGTCCGGCGCAGCAGCAGCAGCAGCAGTGAGCGGTAGCGGCAGCAGGAGCACGCGGTGGACGGGACATGCAGAAACAGATCTGTAAAGGTGTACTCTAGACTCGTGCAGTCCCGTTGACCACTCATCGGTCGTTGCGCAGCTGTCCGCCGGGCATCCCTGTCGGGTCCAGGTCCTTGGCCAATATTGGCTGGCGCAGCGTGGCACAGACTGGAAGGAGAATTTGGGGGGTTCGCCTCCGTTCACTTGCTGCCCGCCCTGGAGTCGACCGGCGGCGGCGGATAGTAGCGCAGCCGAAAGGTGCCGCAAGGGCGGGGGGCCACTGTGGCACTCTCTAAACAAGGGGCTTACAGGCTGGCTGCTTCACCTCAGACCCAGGGACAGTCGCCTTCAGCAGGTAGGTACTTGCTGGAAGCGACGTGGGGCAGGCCCCAGCTTTTTTTTGGTACGCTGCAGTGGTTCCAGACGGGAGCGATGAGGGTGGACGGGAGATGCCATCCAGGACAGGCTCCAGCATTCGCTTGTTAGCGAACCAGAGGGAGCCCGAGGTTAACTTTACTGCTGCGGCTGTGCGTTGTCGGGCTGCTGGATACACCTTGCGTAAAACACAGGTGCACTCTGGAGTTTCCATCGTTGTGGTTGTTCTTGTCCTGTACGGGTGCTTATGTACGAATAGCAGGCACTATCTCAGACTCGAGAACGCGCAACCACTACTGTAAGTGATAGAGCTGGATAGTAAGACGCCAGCAACTATTTCCAGCCCAGCCCCTAGATACCCCGTGCAATGCTTAGACTGTCGATCGAACCCCCTCATGCCGTTGAGCTTCACAACTGTCAGGTCAGACCGGGAGCTGGCCGGAATGAAATGCTAAGGAGCGTCGGGTTACATGTAGACAGCAGAACGCGCGGAATTCCCATACGGATCGCCGGAACCTGGTTCAGGGTCCGGCTTAGGTAAGGCACCCATCCACCTACGTGCCTACCTTCGCTCCTCCAAATGGGTACGTATCTATGAGATAAGCAAATCTCCAGCTTTTAGACGTGCAACCTGAGACATCAAACGCTGCTGCGTATCTCCCATCCCTTGTACCTGCCCTTCACAGATTATGAATGATGGAACTCTTGGAGAAGAAAGCCAAGACGGACATCTTCCTAATGATACGGGGCCGAAATCACGGTTGATGTTGATCATGTTGCTGCGTCTTTCCTGCCTCTGACCATCAGGTATCAAGACAGCCGTTGCCAAGTAGGATGCGGCATCTTTTCTTGGGTCTTGCAAAGTACCCGTTCCGTGTCTTAGGGCAGCCCAGCAGACCAGCAAGCGCCTACCTAGTGTAGATCTGCTCAATGACTCCAAACAAGCGTTTGACCAACTTTTCAGCCCATCAAACACACAACACCCGCCAGCCCAACGCCCACTGGGTCCCCTTTGACACTATTACGCGGCCTCACGGTACTGCATAGTGTTATTCCCACAACCACACGCTTCACCTCACACTCCTTGCAAAACAGCCACAGTCTGGAACACACACACACACACCTCTCCTCCTAGTCACCCCTCGTCTCCCGCAAACAACCACCCCCGTCCCGTCTCTTCCTGCCTTGCACAACGCAAACATGGGAAAGACGTACATCGTGGAGCACCTCGACCCCGAGCTGGGGCCGTGGTCCGAACTCGAGTACATCGCCATCGCCAAAGAGACCCATGCCGCTGCCGGCACCTTCCTGCTGTCCTCCCTGCCCGCCGCCTTCAAGGCCCCGGAGAAGCTGAGCGAGGTCCCGGCTTTCAAGGCCGAGAACCGGGGCGTCGAGGAGCTGTACGCCCACGACAAGTCCCGTGTGTGCCTGCTCGACCCCGCCGCCGCCAGTGACTTGAGCCCCGAGGATGGTGAAAAATTTGACGCCTTTTTGTTTGGCGGCATCCTGGGTATGGATTCTCCTCACGTCCGACGCTTTATCTAATTTCTGACGTTTCTAATTCTTACACAGGCGATGACCCCCCAAGAGGTAATTCTGATTAAATCCGTTTGTGACATTAGCATCCATTCTGACCCTTGCAGACCGGACCTCCGAATTGAGGAAGAAGGGATTTGAAGGCAGACGGCTCGGACCCACTCAAATGACCACCGACACCGCCGTCCGTGTCACCAGAATCGTTGTCGAGGAGAAGAGTGCGCTCCGCCTACATGCAATACCGTAAATTTCAACCATTCACTGACAACATGCAGCACCACTGGACAAGATTCCCTACGTTACCTACCCCGAGCTCAAGTTCAGCGAGCATGAGAGCACCGAGATGCCCTTCAAGTACGTGACGGACAAGAACGGCGAGCCCATCATGCCCGAGGTAAGAACTCCATTACGGCTCCCAGAAAATGATGATGCTAACCTCCATCCAGGGCATGGTTGATCTCATCCGCAAGGACGCCGACAAGGCCATTGATGACCTCTTCTAATTGACACCAACCCCAAAAGCAATTGACTACGATTTACGAGGAGAAGCTCCGTTTTTAACATCTTTTTCGTGTGAATGCAGCCCAGATCATCAACTTCGATACCGGTTCGTGTTGTCCAAGAACATGCGCGAGAGAATGTGACACCGCCGCAACGCTACGTACAACTAAGTAGGGTCATTTTAACCATAACTCACCCGCTTGTATCGGCATAGGTGCCGAATTCAAGCCGCCATGAACCCCGCATCAGAGATCGGCCGGCTTTTGACTTTCAGATAGGCGGTTGTCGATGTTTTTACACGTTGAACTTCATCATTCATCCCGTCCTCTCGGAAGTTGGCAATACCCGGTTAGAATTGATCCAGTCTGTTCTTCATTGCACTCCGGGAACGCTCCCGCGGGAACAATCCCGATCAAGTTCGCCGCAGCCACCACTGTTCATACCATGTCTCCAACGAAGGAACCATCCCATTCCCTCTTATCATCATCGACTTGCCTTTCCGGGAACCCATACCCCATCGATCTCCAACTCACATCCCTGCAACCCCAGAAAGCTCCCTCATCATCAAAGTGCCAAGCACTCGCTCTCTCTCAACCTCCATCTCATCTCGTGCACTCCCAACCTCTCATCGCTCCATGTTTGACCTCACACTCAAACCCTCCGCACAATGTCCAACCCTCAATTCACGTTCCGCCAAACAACCTTCACCTACCCGTCTCTCCTCCTGACCCGCCGCAACACAGTCTCCCGCACGACCCTCCACACCCAGCTCGCCCAGCTCCGCGCAAACGGCCAATACGACGCCTTCAAGCTCAAATGGCACCCCATCTACGACGATAACTCCCGCTGGCCCGCGCCCCTCCACCTCTTCTGGGACAGCGACGTCGCCAAATGGATTGAGGGCGCCTGCTACTTCCTCGCCGATGAGTACGACGCCCGCATCGACGCCGCCGTCCGCGAGCTCGTCGCCATGATCCGCGCCGCCCAGCACGACGATGGCTACCTCAACATCCACTTCTCCGTCGTCGCCCCGGGCCAGCGCTGGACCAACATCCGCGACATGCATGAAATGTCGGTCTTCCCGAGAGTCGCCTGAAGCTAACACACGCCCTGACTTATATAACAAAATCAGGTACAACGCTGGACACCTCATCGAAGCAGCCCTCGCGCACCAGCAGTACTACCGCAACGACCTCCTCATAGAGCCTCTCGCAAAGTACATCGCCCACATCCGCGCCCGCTTCGGGCCCGGCGCCGGCCAGACGCGCGCGTACCCGGGCCACCCCGAGATCGAGCTCGCCCTGCTGCGCTTCCATTCTGCCACCGGCAGCCGCGACGCCTACGACCTCGCGCGCTTCTTCCTTGAGGAGCGCGGCAACCCGCGCGGCCAGGACGGGCAGCACTTTTACGACTGGGAGGCCGCGGTGCGCCGCGACGACGAGCCGCGCTGGAAGCGCCCCAACTCGTGGCCCATGGACCGCTCCTTCTGGTACTGCCAGGCCCACGCGCCCATCCTGCAGCAGGACACCGTCGAGGGCCACGCCGTGCGCGCCATGTACCTCCTCACCGCCGCCGCGGACCTGCTGAACCTCTCCCAAGGGGCCTCCCCGGGGACGCCGCAGGAGCTGGCCGAGGCCGACGCATGGCTCGCCGCGCTGCGCCGTCTGTGGGCGAACATGGTCGACCGCAAGATGTACCTCACGGGCGGGATCGGGGCGGTCGCGCAGTGGGAGGGGTTCGGGATCGACTACTTCCTCCCGCAGGGCGCGGACGAGGGCGGCGGGTACGCCGAGACGTGCGCGAGCGTCGGGGTGATGATGCTCGCGGAGCGGCTGCTGCACGCGGACCCGGTGCTGGACGGCCGCTACGGCGACGTGATGGAGCTGTGCCTGTACAACAACGTCATGACGGCCATGAGCGCCGACGGGAAAGCCTTCACGTACGAGAACGCGCTAGCCAGCTGCGACACCGCGCGCAGCGAGCGCGAGGACTGGTTCGTGTGCGCGTGCTGCCCGCCGAACGTCACGCGGCTGTTTGGGAGCCTGGGCGGGTACCTGTGGGACTACGGGGAGGGGTTCGTGAATGTTCACCTGTACACGAGCGCGGCGGTCGAGTTCGAGGTGGAGGGGGGGAAGCGGAAGGTGAGGTTCGAGCAGAGGTCGAACTGGCCGTGGGAGGGCAAGGTGGGGTTCCGGCTCGACGGCGCCGAGGGGGTGGACATGACGGTGCGGTTGAGGATTCCGGCGTGGGCCAAGGGGGACTTCATGCTTCTTCCCGCGCCCAAGGTTGGCCAGTCCAAGGTGGAAAGGGGGTACCTCCACCTGGGCCCGGCGTACATGGCCGAGAACCCGGCCTTTGCGATTGTGATTTACGGGTTCGAGCCGCGGTACATTGCGCCGCATCCGTACACGAACCAGCGGACGTTGTCCCTTGCGCGCGGGCCGATTGTGTACTGCGTCGAGGATGCAGATAATGAGTGGGAGGAGAACCACTTCAAGGACGTTGGCATCAAGCGCGGCAGTGCGATTGAGGAGATTTGGAGAGTTGACAAGATTAGGGGGGAAGAATACTTTGCGCTGAAGACGACCGGTTGGGTACGTACGCCTGAAGTGGTGATGAGTGGAGAGGAGGGAGAGAAGAGGGACCTTGTGTTTGTGCCGTTCTATTTCAGGTCGAATAGGGGTGGCAAGGGGCAGATGAGGGTTGGTTTGAGAAATGATGGGAGATGAATATGATATCCATGGTACACGCTGGAGACCGAAGTGAAAGATGAATTTGGTATGGTAGCTTTCTAGGGACTCTTTACGTAGATATTCATGTCTGATGAGATGCCATATAGACCTATCAAACAATTGTCGAGTCTGCCCACCACCTCCCCCCAATTTGAGATTCTGACAACCACGACGTTGCAAGTACATTTGCTCAATCAAGTTGGAGACCACTTCCATCTTGGAAGCCGTTCTTGCGTTTCACCCGGTCGCCCTATGTTGATAACACGTTTATTCTGATGACCCTGTGCATCTCACTGGTCTGCCATAAACAAGATCCCAATATCTGAGCCTCTACCTCGCAATCCCAAACTCCAGCAAGTCGGAAAGAACCCCAAAAGGCAACCAACCCATCTACCGCTTCAAGGCCATCTGTACCCTCGTCTTACACTCATAACACAAACTCGCCTGGTTAACCCTCACAATCGCCGCCTCGTTCGCAACCAGCGCCGCCAGCCGCGCCTGGAACGCAATCGACATCATCACCACAAACTCCCCCGGCAGCTGCGCCGCGAGCCTCTTCCACGTCGCCGGCGCGCAGTTGGCCACAAACAAATCCCTCATCCGCTCCACCAGCCCCTCGACCGCGTCATCCTCTCCACTGCCGCTTCCCCTCCGCGGCAGCGCCTCGAGCGCGACGTACCCGTTGGCGAGGTTAACCACCCACCACTCGGCGCAGCGCGGGTCCGCAAGCTTCACAGCCGCGACGTCGAGCGTCTCGCGGATGGCCGTCTCGACCTTGCCGCGCAGCAGGTCGTCGAAAAGGCGGTCCGTCAGCGCCCACATGTCGACGAGCTCGGGCAGGTCGTGCGGCGTGTGCATGTCGCACGGCTTGATGCTGAAGGGGGACACCTCGTAGACGGTGCCCTCGGCGTCGGCGGCGCGGCGCTTGACGCGCGCGGCCGTCAGGCGCGTGAAGTAGCACAGCTTGACGTAGGTGCCGAGGGTGAGGGGCGGCACGTCGTCGAGGTCGATGGTGTTGGAGACGGACTCGGCGAAGGGCCCGTCGAGGCAGCGCTGGAAGTACTTTGAGGACTCGACGAGGAGGGACTTGTGGATGGCGAAGGACTGCGTTGCGGTCTTGAGCCAGATGATGGTCTGGGGTTGTCTGTGCGATTGGTCAGTTGTTGTTGATGTGATGAGGGGTCTCAGGTTTCCGAGGTGGTTCTGGGAATCAAGAGTACTTGCTCATAGATGTGTATTCAATATGAGAGAGTGTCTCGGGATTCTGGGAAAGCAGGATTATGTCCACATAGACCGCAAGCCATTGCCTCATAGTGATATTTGAATAACAAAAACGGACAACGAAGTAGCACGGGGAATTCGATATGCGCCGCAATCGAGCGAGTCTTCACAAAATGCAACAATGGCTTACTTCAAAAGACTTCCCATGCCATCAAGCTCATCTGGCCTGGGGGCTGATCGGTCGAGGATGCCAGCCATAGTGTATGGATTGAAAGGCGTCGGTCTATCAGCTATGTGTACACAAGAACACATGAGAGTATCAGTAGGTTCAAAATGCAGTACGGAACGATCGTTAGAGTCAAACTGCGTTCTTGCTAGGTGACCATGATGCCTCGCGGCACAACCCCGCGCAACAGAGTGAGGCGGAAGTCTGTCAGCCTTCGTCTGAAGTCGTTGTCGTCCTTAGTCATGTGAGATCACCATTCGAAAACTCATAGAGACTAAACGGCATTTAATGTTGGCTCTGCTAGCTCGGTCTGATATGCAATTAGCTGTTCAGATGATTAGCACACGAGGTCCAATGCACTTTCTGTCGGTATACGATATGTGTTTGCTGAACGTTGAGCCGCCCGGTCGTTCCTTTGTTCCGCAAGTGGCTCAGCTGCATCTCAGGAATGCTCAACTTCACCGTGAGTGCAACGTTAGACCAGTCTGATCATTGCCCAGGATGGACTGGCAGCCAATAGGGGAAAAGAAAGAGGTAACTAGCAATCCAGACACGCCGGCAGAATATTGCGTGTCACTCAATTGCAATTCGTCAACTTGGACGCAAATGAGGTTGCGTGAAACTCAATTGACGACAAGACATGGGACGATGCAAAACCCAAAAAAACACAGTCACAGCCGCCGGCAATCAACCGCAACTTCGAAGCCATTAAAAAAGCCACATTGGGCAAAAGAATCAGCTCTCCCCTTCCAGAATCGAACTAGAGACCTTTCGATGACAATGTAACCATTACAGTCGAACGTGATGAACCAACTACACCAAGGGGAGTAACGGGGCTGAGCCCCGCTTGGTGAATTGAAAGGAGTGTCGTAAATGCACACTAAGACCGCTTCCACCCACAGCCCACTCGACCGTCAAGCTGGCGGAGGCCACCCACAACGCCCGTCTTTCGGGGCTCTTCGTATTATATTGTGTTCTTCTTCCTAGTCAAAAGAGCAGCGAAATCTTCAATACCTCTTCACAAAAGTGCTTTATCACTTTGAACTGATGTTTATGCAGAGTGCCACTTGAGCGTTGCCACACCTAGGCATGCAGGTTGTTCTTTGCACCGTCATTCCAGCTCCTCCATCATCATCGCCCGTCCTTGCCATCAAAAATTATTGTCCCCTGTGGGTTGTTTGGGCGATATCAGGTTCAGCTATAGGCGGGTTCTATCTGGGCCAGAAATTGGTGCAGAACCAGCTTAGTTACCTGCACTCTGTCGATCCGTAGATGGATCATGTGTGGTATGGGATGGCTCTGCCTCCAATACACGTCGCATACCTTGTCACTGCATGGGCTTCCATGATGTTTCCTTAAGGAAGAGTTCTCCTTTGATATTGTACTACAAGTGCCTAATCCCTGACAAGACATTCTCTTCTAAGCTGTACTTTTTTGATCTCCCTCGCGCTTCGTCCAATCCTCCACTGTAGGGCGCACCTCGCATACGCGCCCTACCCAAACCAGCAGACGAAGCTGGTGGCATGATAAACAGAATGATAAAAAATGCAGTTTCCCAACGCCGAGCCCCAAAAGAGCAATGCTATGCCTTACCTTCTTCGCTAATGAGCCCGCAGTCTCTTCATCTAGTATAACCCGAACAACAGAAAGTCCAAAGGGGAATAAATCGAAAGAAAAAACGCTCGGCTCATTCCGTCGTCTCCTTCATGCGATCTTGATCAACGCTTATTTGGCGTTGGCTGACTTATGAGACTCCAAGGCAGCAGCGAGCCCCTTTGCCATGTCTTCGGTCTTGACCTGGACCATCCAGGTCTCGAGGCCAGTGCCATTTTCGTTAGAAGTGGTCAGCTTGACGTACTTCTTCTCCGCCTTGTACGTCTCGCTGGGCAGGACCGTTCTGTTGAGCACAACGTGGCCACGAGGCTCGGCTCGGAGAAGCATTCGCACGGCGCCGGTGGTCTTGTGCTTGAGGAGACGGAATGGGCCGATGCCCTTCGTGGACCAAGGGCTCTTGTTCTTCGGCTGGTCATCCCCGTCATCCTCCTCAGACCCAGCAGGGACAAACTTCATGACCTTGGCGCGCACCTCATGCGCGACCGTCTCATCCTCCTCGCCGGGACCACCCTCGGTGAGCTTGATCTGCTCGTGAGGCTTGCCATCCGCATCGTCGCCCTCACCATTGGCAGCCGCCTTCTCAGCCTCCGCCGCAGGCTCGGGCGTACCGGTCGCGGGCGTCGTAGCGAGGCTAGAGGCACCTCCGAAGTTGAAGGGTGAGTTGGTCCCGGTAGTTGAAGCACCAGCAGGAGGCTGCAGGCCTCCGAACATGCCGGAAGGCTGCGCAGGCTTAGCACCAAAGAGGTTGCTAGTGGGGGCAGAGTTGGACGCTCCGAACAGAGGCTTCTGGCCGGCAGGGGCGGAAGTTCCAGCACCGTTGGATGCGCCAAACGTGAATGAGGCGGATGCAGACGGAGCCGGAGCGGGGTTGCTTGCGCCGTTGTTCGCACCAAAGGTGAAAGATGCAGACGCGCTTGGAGCAGCAGGGGCTGCAGGCTGCGACGAAGCACCTCCAAATTGGAAAGGAGAGCTGCTCGCCGGAGCAGCAGAAGATGAACCACCGCCACCGAACTGGAAGGGAGTAGATCCGCTGGAGGGCGCAGAAGATCCACCTCCAAAGTTGAAGGATGTAGGCGCAGAGTTGGAGTCACCGTTGGAAGCAAAGGGGTTGTTGAACGACTGACCACCGCCACCGGCGCTGAACGTGAAAGACGAACCGCCTCCAGACCCGAAGCTTGGAGCAGCGTTTCCGTTGGTCTGAGGCTCGGAAGAACCACCGAACAAGTTGGAGGAAGGGGCGCTCTGGGACGCGCCAAAGGTGAAAGAGGAGGTGGAGGGAGCTGGCGCGTTGAATTGCTTCTTCGCCGGAGGGCCATCCTGCTTCATGGGACTACCACCAAACATGGGTTGATCGGCCTCTGGCTTTTGCGAACCGAAGAGAGGGTTAGACTCGGCAGGCTTGCTGCCACCGAAGCTGAAGATGGGAGCTGCTGAGGCGGCTGGGGCCGGCTCAGGTGCCTTGGGAGTAGCAGGCTCCTGAGGCTTTGCGCCAAAGAGGCTGGAAGTGCTTGAGGCAGGCGCCTGACCACCGAAGAGAGTGCTGGATTGGAACGGACTGGCGGTTCCAGAGGTACTCGCTCCGAACAGGGGCTTGACCGGTTCAGCAGCGGGAGTAGATTCCTGGGGCTTGCCGCCGCCGAACAGTGTGGCCGACTGCATGACAGGCTTCTCCTGAGAGCCGAACAAGTTGGAAGCCGGAGCCGCAGGCTTGGCCTCCTCTGCTTTGGGAGCGGAAGCGCCGAACGAGAAGGTCGGGGCAGTGGGCTTTGGAGCTTCATCCTTCTTGGGCTCTTCCGTAGTCTTCGGCTGGAAACCGGCAGAAAACCCGGCAAAGGGAGACTTGGCAGGAGGCTTTGAGCTGTTCTCCTTGTCAGACTCGGCATCGTCGGGGGCAGAACGCTTGCTCGACTTGGGCTGCTCCTCGGCCGGCTTATCCTGCTTCGGCGCGCCGAATAAGTTGGAGGCGGGCGCAGCGGGCTTGGCACCGAAGATGGAGCTCGATGTTCCGTTAGTAGAAGCCCCAAAGAGGCTGCTGCCGGCGGTAGGAGCGGGGCCAGCACCGAACTTGATCGGGCTGTCGGGCTTCCAGGTGGCATCGATGGGGGCCGGCGCGGGCTCCTTGGCTGCGGGCTCAGCAGAGTCCGCGCGGACAGGCTGACCGTCATTTCCCTTGGTAACGCGGTCGAACAGGCTCTTCGGCGTGGTCTCTCTTGCGTCGGAAGAGGTGCTAGAGGGAGCCGTAGCAGCGCCGCTGGAGAAGAGTGGCTTCTTCGCAGCAAAGAGGCTAGAAGTGGGCTGGGCCAACGGCGTCTCGGCGTCACCACTAGCGGCCACGCTGGGCTCGTAGCTCTGCTGGCCGGCTTCTTGAGTCTCCGCCTCTTCCTCCTCGGAATCGGTCTCACTCTCACCGTCGGCCTCCACACCGCTGTTCTTCGCGGAACTGTTGTCCGAGAGGTAGCCAAAGATGTTTCCGCCTTGGGGCGGCTTGAGACTCTCAAAGACCGACTTTGTGGGTCCACCATTGGCGCCCTGGGAGGCAGCGGCGAAAGGGTTAGGCTTAGGCTCGGGAGCCTTGGGGGTTGCCTTCGGTGTTGAGGCAGGCCCCTGGTTGTTGGCGATACGCTCGAACATGCTCTTGGTGTTGGAGGAGGGAGTCGAAGTCGACTTTTGCAACTTGGAGGGCTGGTTCTCGTCTGCCTCGTCAGTTACGGTAGCCTTCCTCTTGTTCTTGGGTGCAGGCGTGGCAACGGGCTCTTCCTCCTCTCGGTCAAAGGCACGTCGCTTGTTGTTCTTGTTGGGCGATGCCGTGGACAGTGCCGTGTCCTTGGGGGTAAGTTGCTCCTCGGCCTTGCGCTTGGAGCGAGTAGTCTGCCTGGACGGGCTGGCATCGGCGGCGGCGTCCTCCTCAGGCTCAGGCAAATTGTGAGCGGCTCTCCACTTCTTCAGAACCTCATCGGAGGGCTTGACGTTCTTGAACTCGTACAGGCCATATCTGAGCATGATCAGGCTCCGGCTCTTCTCGAACTCCTTTGCGAAGTTCATGATGTTGAGCTTCCAGTCCTTCTTGGCAAAAATCTCGTTGGCCGCATATTTGAGACGACGAAGATCCAGAACGCAAAAGAGTTGGCGTCGCTGCAAGTCGTCGTATTCGGCAGGAACCAGATGGCTAAGGTACTGATCCGCGTACACGGTGCCCTTTGCCTCGAGCTCGGGAGGGATATCTCGCGCAAGAGCCTCGCCGGTGAGCTCGGGAGGGGGGGAGGGAATGCGCATGTGGAACAGCTCGGCGGAGTTCGACTTGGAAGCGAGGCCTCGAGGGGTGGCCTGGGCAATGTTCTCGCGATAAACCTTCTGTGAAGCCGGAGTGGCGCCGGGCGCGAAAACCTTCTTCATGGCGCTCGCAGGCAGGCTGGGAGCGAAAGGGGCAGCGGCCGGGCTCGCGGTAATGGAGGACGAACGGAAGAGGTTTGAAGCAGTAGAGATGGTGCTTGTGTTGAGGTTGCTGGAGGGCAAGGGATCGCGGTTCAAGACCTTCTGGGAAGGCGCAGTCTGAGGAGTGCCGAGTCGCTTGTTCGGGTTCAGAGGCGAAGCTTGGTAGCTACGGTTTGCGAACTTGAGCGACGGGCGGGCCCGCGGGGTGCTATTTCTGTGGTCCATAATGATGAACAGTGACGGGGGATTCGGAGGGAGGATTATAATTAGTTGTTGGTGATGAGGAAGACGCCGGTCGGGTTGGCGTCGTTGAGAGAGTCGCGTCTCGGTTCACGCAGGATGCGCCAACAAAGCGACGAGAGAGAAATGGAAAGCTGGCGCGACGACGAGAAGCGACGTCGAATGGAGGGTATGAGGTTGGGAAAAGAAGCCGAAATGCAATGAGAGATTCGACAGCAACGGGAGACAATGACGCAGCGATCAGAAAGCTGACCCTGGATGGCGCATCGAAGACGGCCTTGATGTCTGGCTGAAGAGACGACGGAAGATTTTGGTGGTGTTTTTTGGTGTGGCACGTCCGAATGACGGGTGACGGGACGGGGCCAGCAGCAGCAGTGAAAAAAGCAGGCCACAGGGGGTGCAAGCACAACCGGGAAGGGACGTGGTTCCACTTTTCTGCCGTCACCAACCTCAGTGTTAAGGCAACCGCTTTTCAATTGGCTGCGATGGGTGAGACAGGCACCGGACGCGACTGGTTGATTTTCGGCGCTTCGATTTTTTTTCGTACGGCGACTCTGCGACTGCCCAAAGCTTCCCCCAGCCAAATGGAAGGTCCCCGTCCGTTGCTGAGGACAGGGCTCCGGGTTGCCTAGGGCAAGTACGTACCGACTAGGGTCACGTTCAACCAGCCAGTGAGAGTCCAGTCGCGTCTCATCTGCCCACCCATTGTCCAGTGTCCAGCGTTCCGGTCCATTATGTAAGTAAAAGTACGTACACTTTTCGCCAGCAACAGCTCCGGAGGGTCAGTTGGTCCGCGCTTCCTCTTTCAGCTCCAGCTCCTGGCCGTGTCGTGTGCTTAGTCAACACCTCCTTTGATGAGTCCAGAGCTGCAGTGCAACACACTCGCAAGTCAGCTGCACTCCTGACTCTGTTGCATGTGCCTCGATAACGTCGGAGCCGTACTGGCGAATGCGACTGCACCACTGAAACCAGGGGAAACGCGCCGCGGCCGCTTTCACGAGTCCTGCCTCTCCAACTCGATTCCCCTGAGCTTCCAGCCAGGCCTCCATGGAATCATGCTTCCGCATTTAGCGTCCAGGTCAAAAGGCCTTCTTCCATCATGTCATTTGGTAGTGGATGTCTGTCAGGTTTTAAGGAGTCGGCAGCCGGCGTATCCAAGTCGGCGTCGTCGATTCTCCGGACGATATGGTGCCTGAGTCGGACCGGTAATAATCGGGAATTCTTTCAACCCATCTCCTCCCCCGTCCCCAAAGCCGGTACCAACGGAAGCACGTGTCAGTCGACGTGCACTCGCCGTGCTCGACGGATACCGGCTGAACATGGGGGACCGCATTCCTGGGATTGGGTTCTCCACGGTTTCGGTAGTCAGCTTTTTCAATTACGCAGCTAACATCGGAGACTAAATATTCAAAGTTTCCGAGAGCTTGTCTGGATTGAAAGATTTCTCATAATCTCATTTCCTACGAGCACCTGCTATGGCGCATATCCGGATCTAGCTCCAGTCTCCTAGTCCAACATGTAGGTTATGGTACAGGGTATTACCGACAACACACGACATCCCCATTGTGATTCTTTACAACTTGGCCTTGGACTGGGCCTTCTTCAGGATGGGCTCCATCCTCGTGGCCTTCATGACGTCGCCCTTGATCTTGAGCTTGCCAGACATGAACAGTTTCTGGGCGTTCGCCTTGCCCTGGACCAGGTTGCCAAAGTCGGAGTCGGACAGAGACAGGGTGACTAGACCGGGCGTGTTAGTAACGACCTGGATAGAAAAGACGGGCTGGAGACATACCGGTAGGCTTCTCGCCAACGCCCTTTCCAACGGCACCCTTGTCCTTGAGGTCGATGTGCCAGCTGTCGGTCTCGCCGGCAGAGTTCTTGAGGGTGAAGGCAAAGATGGCCTTGCCCTGGCTGACGGCCTCCTTGCGGTCGGCCTCGCTCGAGTTCAGCGCATCGTTGATGGCGTCGAAGGCGGCGGAGGAGGGGAACTTGTCTGTGAGGAAGAAATGCGGTCAGCAACAGCAACGAGATGAGTTCATGGTTCGAGTTCGCATACCGTTAGCGAGACCCATTTTGGATGTATGTGGATAGTGAATGCTTGAGAGTGTGTTTGAATTGGTTGAAAATAACAGTACGAGATATGTTGACAGATCGCGAAAGATTACCGAAACGCGGGGGATGGCCGGATAGTTTAAATACTGAAAGCTGGTAACGGTAAGCCGTGCGTCGGAGGTTGGGGGAGCGCTGCGGACGGAGGAGGAATAGTTGCCAGAGATGACGCTCAGTGTCGCATGTGAACCTCGGCGATTTAGCACGGCGTCATGTGCGCGCGCGCCGCCGCCCCCAGAAAGGTCCCCACAATTTAGCAAAGCATCCAGCAGCAGCACCCCAGCAGCCATGGAACAGTGACGATCAATGGGGCCGACAAGTTCACTCCACCTGGATCCGGCTTGGGCCGCCACGCGCTGCGCCGTACATACGGACCGTACAGAATGCCTTACTTGCTGGTGTGGCATTCGACAGCGGGCTCAGGGACTGGATGGCGGCCATGTCGAGCACAGGCAGGACAGTGAGCAGGTATTGCTGCCAGAAACGCGGCGCAACCGTCAACTTGCAGCGTTGCAAGGTACCTACGTACACCGTACACATCTACCTCCCCTTTCTGGATTCTGGAAAGCTTCTCCGGATTTCGGTAACGAATCGGAGGCAGGAGCAGCAAGGAAAAGAGGACCTATTCTGCACAGGCAACCGCAGCAGTCCTCCGCAATTGCTTCATTCTCCAGTTTCCATGACTCCATTTCCGAACCTGGAGAAGCCACCTCTTGGTGCTGGTACGGATAACGAAAATGCATTGAGGTCATGGATCTGGACCCTCTCCATCACATCCTTTCAAGCCACAGAGAATGCCTTCCAGGCCCTTCGTCTACGTCCGCCTCCAAGCTAAGTTGTTTCGCAAACACCGAGGCATCAAAGAAACACGAGGCAACGAAGACACTACCCAATCCGTCTTTGACAAGTCGATGCACAGCCAGAGACAACACTGCCCTGCTAATCAAGCTGTCCTGCTCCGAAACAGACTTCCGACGGCGGCCAATCGAACGACTCACTTCCCACGTGCGCCCGATTCATGCTTTCGCGCGTGTTTACGCCACGATCTTGATCGCCATGTATTTTGATCGATGCCTGCCAAACATCCAACCACGCAGCAGATCTCGGCTTCCAACCCCAACATGAAATTTGACAGCAGCCGAGGGGAGGCGAAAGTGAGGCTAGATGGAGGGATATCCAGACTCGCAAAACCCAATTGGGAAGCTGCGACGAGAACGAGTCCGAGTGCGGTAATGCATCACAAACACTCAAGACAAAGACAACAAAGGGACCTCGGCAGAAGCGTCAAAGAAATCTTGACCTTGACATGAGTTCACTGACGTTCCATTCTGACAGTTCGTCCGACTCCAACTTTGGGACTCTACAACCACAAACGACCGACCTGGCACGGCCACTACTCTCTGGTTTCCTGCGCCCCCAAGACATGCAACCCCTGTCTGAAGTTCAGGACGAGCGTCTGCCTCGACTGCAGATCCGTTGTGACGACGCACAGCCAGCCGCGGCTCCTCAAGCGCCAGTATCTCGAAGGTACGCAGCGAGCACGCCGCCCCAAGACCCGGGGTTGTCGCTAGCTACGACCTGCCAGACCTCACCGCCAGTCTTGTCGTACAAGAGGTTCGTGCTGCTCTTGGAGCTCAACCCGAACCAGTACGTCTGCTTGGCCCCATCTGCAAAGGCCTGGTTCGTCATGCAGTTGCCTCCTGTGTTTTCACATTGCGCATTCTGCCACTGGTTATCGTTCATCTTGTTGAAAAACACCCACAATGCCGAACCATGGATGACCACCTTCGAGCTCCCCGTCATGTAATGACCCCACGCCCGGAAACATCGGTCGTTGTTGGCCTGTCCTTGAGCCGCACAGTTGCGAAAGTCCGGATCGCCATAGGCCGATTTGACGCTGTTCATTTGGGTTAGCACCCGTGCTGGTCTCAGACGAAACACCAAACGGGACGACTGGGGGTTGGGGAACTTACGACCACGGGGACGGCGCCCGCTGGGGCGTTCCCTCGCCCTGCCAATAAGGTGCCTCGGTTTGCTGGAGGCTGATGTACACGTTCTGGGCGTTGTGGAGGTTGTATTGATACAAGACGCAATGCTCGAAACTGGTTCCCACCAGCCACGTGGGTTTGGTGCTCTCAATGAGTGCGCCTCTGCCGACGGCGATGTTCTGCGCCGCACCACCGTCCAAGGAGTGGTCTGCCACCCAGCCCCAGACATTCTCCAGGTACGCAGAAGCCGTCGAGGTCACATGCATCAGGGCAAAGGCGGCCTTGCAGGAGGCGGGGTCGGAGCCACCACAGTTGGTGTTGGTGAGCGAGTGCTTGGTGCCGCCAACGCGAAAGACGCTACTCCAGATACCAACGTCCCCAGGCCTTGTTCCAGCCATATTAATCTGAACCAAAGTGGCGCCCTGGAGTACATCGGCCGCCTCGACGGTAATATCGCTGATTTGCGCAATGCCAACGTCTCCCGAGTTGCCAACCTTGAGGATGGGCTGAGGGTCGTCAGGGTTCCAGAAACGCGAGCCGTTGCCGTTGAATATGCTCAGCGTCTCGCCGACCAGTCTCGTTCCAGGAGGGACGTAGATCGTCTGCTGGGTGAGGTAAATGCCCTGTGGGACAAAGATGATCTTGCAGTTCTTGTACTTCTGGAGGATCGCGTTGATATTGGGTCCATCATCATGAGAGTTGTCGCCGTAAACTGGCAGCGAGGGATCACCCTTCAAACTGATGAACTGATCCAGAGCATACTTCTCATACTGAGGCAGCGGCGCGGTGAAGTACTTTTCACTGGACAAGAGAGCACTCGGTCTGTCGATCGGGTATGTGGTGCCCTTTTGTAAGTTGTTCGAATTGACGTACCCCATGACCCAAGTCTGACCAGACGGAACAGAACCCGAACGGAGCGTTGAGCCATCATCGCTAGACTTGACAGCCGTGGCGCCGGTGACCTGGAAGTTGTCGATGATGAGCGAGTTCTCGCCATAGCCAGTGCTCTTTTGGTTCACACCTGCGTTGCAGGCCTGAACGCTTGAGTCGACCAGCGAGACGGTGCCGGCTGTCGCCTGGCCCATGTCGATGCCAAAATTGCAGTTCATGAAGGTCGACCCTTGAACAACGGCCACGAAGATGCTGCTGACCGAGATGCCGACGTTGCAGCCATTGAAACTCAGGTTTTTGAACTGGTACTGCTGACCGTTCACCCTGATACCGATGGCGCCTCCCTCGAATTGCTGCCGTCTTGTCAACAGAGTTTTAAGGACAGGCTTTGAGCGGGCAGAAACTCACACTGTCGCTGATCAGGATGCCAGAACCGCCGGCGTTCATGGTGATGCCAATGTGGCTCGAGTAGTTTGGCATGCGGATCTTCACGTTGGTAAGAGAGCAGCCCTGCGAAACTGACCAGTCCAGCCCGACGGCCTGGACGCCCGTCCCGATCTCGTTTGTGTCGATGACGATGTTGCGAACAGCCATGTAGAAGTTTTTCGTCGCCGATCCGTCGCCTTGATGAGAGTCGTAGCCGTTGATGACGGGCGATGTATCCAGCGCCGAGTCGGCGATGAGCGTTGGCGGGTTGACTGCATCGCCGATGAGGTACGTCGTGACGAGCATCTGGATCGATTTCTTGATACGGTACTTTCCCGGTGGGATATACACGTACGCCGGACGAGTTGTCACGGTGTTTCCAGTACGGCTCCAAGCTGTATTTGGTCAGTATATCCCAGGGCAGGTGAGAGCAGTGAGCAGACACACCTTCAATAGCCCAACTGAAAGCATCAGAAGAATCTTGGACGCCGGTATTGTCGGCACCATACTGCACTACCGTCCGGTAGTATTGAAACGTCGAGTCCGTACTTGTCGGTGCTGTGCCGTTGTGGCCGATGGCCGCGCGCCACCACGTTTGCGGGCTTGTCTCCACGGGCCCGGAGCAGCTCTGCCGGGTCTCGAGACTGCCGGGCGCGTGCGGTTGAGCGGCGACGGCCCCGATCCCAAGGATCGCAAGGAGTGGAGAAAGCAGCTTCATGGCGTGTCCCAATCTTCGTTCGAAAGAAGGAAATGAAGACTGACTCCCTGGAGGCCTTGCGACTCTAGATCTTTACACATTTTTGGAGCGGATCTCGACAGCTATTTATAAGTCCTATCATGAAGCAAACCCTTCATTTCCGCTCATCGTCATTACCCAAGTGCTTCGTACTTGTATGGCTGGTCTAGCCAGCTGCGAAACCTAGCTAGCCTTAGCACCATCTCCTACCCCCTGTTCCGAATATTGGCATTTCCTGCATGTGTCTGAATAATCGCCATCCCGCTTCGACAGATGACCCAGGGCAGATCGCGGCCCGTGGCTCCACACCCAAAGGCTTGGATGTCTTTGAAAGCTGATGTGAGATTTGTAAAATTGCACCCTTTCTCACTTTTCGTGTTACCAGGCGCGTCCGTCCCCGTGTCTAGCTCGCTGCGATAGCCAATTTGCGCGTAAAGTTCTTGGGGAGGTTTGCGGGCATCGGCCGTGAGACATTTCTTATTTGCGAGGCGCGAGACCGCGTCGCGTGGGTTTAGGCAGACGGCAAACCGGGGTGCTTAGCTGCGGTTGCGGGGACTTGGCTTGCCTTAGGGTGCTTAGCTGCTTGACGTCGGTTGATCCGCACCTCCCTAGTTCGGCAAGGGCTCGGATTCAATAAAGGCTATTTTGATTGAATGGGGTGTGAGTGTGAGTGCGAGTGAGAGTTTTCTGTTTTTCTTCTCTTGTCGCCATCGTGAGAACTCGGGGGGTGGGTTCTGATGGGGCGTTGGAGATCTGAACATGCAGCTTGGGCGCCGGGCAGGGGTTGTGGTCACCGGGGTTGAAAGCGGTCAAGCTTTAGATTTCTGATATCCAACTCTGAGATGGATGGATGTTTGCGGGCATGTTTGGACCTATTATGGCGAGCAGACATTGTTCAAGGAAAGCTTTGCGGTTCCGTAATCCCGACCGAGGATGCGCCGTCCCGGCTGCTGGCTGAATATTGCCGGCCCCACTTCGGCGTCCTTGGATCCTCCAACCCTACGTATTCCCGACCATCTTCGTTATTGGGAACGTTTTTGTACCCAGTATCGGTCAATGGTATTTGATCCGTAGACTGCTGAGATGGCTTATCATCGCCTTTTCGGACTACCTTGTAGTGGCTGTCTATTCGGTTCCCGACCCCTTCTTTGACACCGACTGCAGAGGTTAGCATCGCCAGAATCGACCACCTGTGTATGAGTGACACTTACATATGTTGAGATAAAAGTACTTGAATACTACTGGCGCCCACAGCAGAACTGCGACGATCTGCCCAAAGGTCCACTTGTCCTTCTTGCGCAACGTGCCTCCTACTTTATCAAGGATGATGTATGTCGTCCCAAACAGAAGATACGCCAAAAAGCAATTCATGAAAAACCAGAGAAGACTCCAAAATATCGATGCGGTCTTGAACATCCACTTCAAAACTCGAGATTTTTCTCGCCAGGATTCCACTCGTTGGGCCACCCAGTCGTGCAGAGGACGGATTCGTGCGATCTGGTCCAAAGACATGAAGCTTATGCCAACCAACACTGTGGTGAAGTAGAACGTCGAGTACCCTGCCATCGCATCTGTTTGGAACCCTTCACTACTATAGGTCCCGGACCGACAAGTTTCGAGTATACTCGCCGTACTTTTACCGCACCCGGGAAGCTCCTTGAAGCCAGGGTACTCAGTCTCAGTACCAAGTTGCGTAATCGTAAGGCAGAAAACGCACACTATCAGCGTTAGTAAATAGGTATACCACCAGTGCATTTTTCTCCTTTGCAGTTCTCCTTGAACAAGAAGAACAACCAGGGTGTTTCCTGCTTGGAAAAGTTTAGCTGCTCTCCAATCGATTCGAACAGCACCTAACGAATCGTTGAAAACCATCATAGACACGGACGCCAATTGCACAGCTAAAGTGAAGAAGACCTGGGCTTCTTGAAACTCGACGAGAGACGAGAAAAGTGCCACCGAAAATCGAGAAGCTCGCAACCTTTCCATCCAGGCCTCGGTACGTCCTTCGCGAGAGGCTCCTTGCCTATGGCCCCTTTTCTTCAAGCGGCGCACAGCTTTTGCTATTTTCACAGCGAAGGAATATTTTGGGTGTTGAGGTATCAAGATGGAAAACAGCATGAACCAAGCTCCCAAGGCAATCTGCATGATGTAGGCCATTGTGATCTAAAAGTTCCGTTACGAACGAGGGCCATCTGCGAAGGAAGTTGAACTTACACCTGGGCCTGAGATATCCGGCTCTGGCTCTCGCGTGACCTGGGCGCAAAGAGATTCCAACGGGGATAGAATCTTAGATAAATCTTCGACTTTACTGAAACTCTCTGGTAGGTCCTTGATATCCTCTCCGCAGGGGCCAAATTGATCCTCCAACAATCTACCATGTTCGGTTGTGGGACCTTGACAAGATGACCGCGTACATTCGAGAATCTGCCGGATAACTCCAAATCCATCGAATGAGTCTAGATCTCCGAATTCCAGACTTTGGTTCGCCTTTCGAATATTTCCCGGGTCAGTCTTATAGCCGCCTTCTTGCACTAGAATTGCAGATACTGCGATTGCAGCGCAGTCATATACTCTGCTTGGAGGAAAGAAAAGTGAATCCTTGCAGTGTTTGGCGTAGTTGTATTGCGTGGTATCGGAGTAGTAGTAGTAATCGGAAGACGTTTGATTCGCAATTTTTATTGTCAAAGACTGAGAATCATCGTTGGGTAATGTGTCTTTTAGCGCTTCTGGCCAGGTGAAGCCAGACGTCGCGTTGACCAAGGCATAACGGTCGCTCACAAGCTCTATGGCGAGGGTGTGATTTGCAGACATTGGACAAGCGAAGACACTATTTGGCCGAAGAAGAAGAAGGAGGTGAAGGACGAAAAGGAGAAGGAAGAGAAAGAGAGACAGCGAGAGTGTAAATTATCTTCGTCTTGACAGGAGCCGACAAGGCTGTCTGTCATGTTTTTTAATGTGCCATCAAAAATAGAACACCTGCCCTCGCAGCCTGATGCTGACCACCATCATTCTGCGAGACCACCATATTTTCGCATGCAACTCAGTCAGTTTCAATGTAAATCTCTTTATACGGCAAATCAAAAGCAAATCTATGATCCAATGATCTTTTCGAGATATTTCAGCCAATTCTCGCCAAGAACCTTGTTCATCTTCCCCTCGCTCCAGCCTTTCCTTGCCATTGCCACAGCCAACTCCGCCCGATCAGCCAACGGACCCAGAGGTTTGACAACTTTTTGGCTTCCCCATGGAGTCAGCCTTCTCGCATATCCCTTGTCTTTGTTGCACCACTCCAGAAATTCGCTCGGCCTCGCGTGCCCTTCGCTCGAGTCTGACCCAATGCCCACAAGGTCCTCCCCAATCAGACCGATAACATAGTCAAGCACATCGACATAATCGTCAATTGTGCTGTCGTTACCCTTGGGCATGTGTGGCCCGAACTGCGACAACCCGACAAAGCCACCCTTGCTACCAATGAGTTTAATCAAATGGTCTGACTTGTTTCGCGGGTGATCAACCAGCCCCCCCGGCAGAATGTGGGAGAAACACGGCGGCTTCCCGTCGGGCGCGTACACAATAACGTCCTCCGACGTCTGCGGTCCGACGTGAGAGAGGTCGCACACGATCCCAAGCTGAGCCATCTCGTCAATGACCTCGCGCCCGAACCCTGTCAGCCCGCTGTCCCGGGCCTCTGTGTAGCCACAGCCTGAGTAGTTTTGGGTGTTGTACGTGAGCTGCATCTTGCGTACTCCGAGGTCCCTGAACACGCGGAGGTAGTCGAGCTGGTCCTCGATGCCAGAGGTGTTCTGCCATGAGAGCAGCACAGCTGTCTTGCCAGCCTCCTTGGCAGCGCGGATGTCGGCAACGGTGTGCGCTTGCACGATCAAGTCGGAATGTTCTTCGAACCAGCGCTTCCACTGTACGACATTGGCGAGACTGCCACGGAGGCCCTCCCAGAGGCCGCAGGTACAAGAAACGCCTGTGATGCCGCCTTTATGCCAGGCCTCGAAAATGTCGCGACCCCAGTTTGCGATGTTGAGGCCATCGAAGTGAATGGCTGAGGCATAGATTGCTCGGGCATCCGATTCCGTCACCATGGTGTTTAACTTGTTGACGAGGACCAAAGAATGGCGTCAGATCCTAGTATTTCCCTGTTGGCTAGATTCAAATGGAGTGAAGTAGTAGGTGAAGCTATGATATTCAGGCGAGATCTCAATCTTGAACCAACGTTCGAAATCCCGAGAGTGAGTAGCAGCCTTCATAGAGATCCCACCGGCGCTCTACCGGGACCTAGGACAGAGATACGACATACTAACGGCCTGTCGGGGAACGTCCGGTAAGAATTCCCAGGAGTGGCAATCGGCCCACAAACGGCATGGGTTTCAACGGATCCTTCGATAACGCAATTGCGATGCCGAATTGAACCATCAGCATTTGATTTTCTTCTCATCTTTTTTCCCATTGGATCATCATTCCTGCGCATTGGAGCCGATTCAGTGGTTGCCTCCGACCACTGTGCAAGGTACCTTTAAGCCAAAGGCCGACCACCCATACCGCTATCGGGATAAAGACATGAATGTTCGGCGTCGGCCCGAAGATAGTCATCATGAAATTTCTTGGAAGGAAGCTTCATCGGGTATTGTTATCCCACGTGGGATTTGTGCTCTTGGCATCTTAAACCCGAGCTTGCCCCATGTCAGCCTGTCGCATTCATGCGACAGGTTATCAGAATCGGAGCTCCAATTGGATACATCGAAAGTCGAAATCGTCTTATTGATTCTCGATGCGACCGTCAAAGAGAGTATTTGTCGGGGCTTCTCCGACTGTGGCGGTTGACGCCATCACTGGCTGGCCATTGCAAGAGAATTCAGCCCGCTAACCAATGGCTCACGTCAAGAGCATACTCTTAAGACCGTCACCGATGTCGATTTCCTGATCTAGAACCACGGTACTCGTTGGTCTGCTGCTTTCACTCATACCTGGGTCGAGGACTGCGATCACAAAACATGGATCAAACGTCAACCAATGACGGCAAGGATGTCGTTTCTGTCAACATCGAGTCCGGCCAACGCCAGTCAAAATTATCGCTTCGAAAGAGAATTGCAGGAATTGTGTGGGATAGTCTCGACAAAACACCGGAAGAAAGACGTTTCATAGCCAAGATCGACTGGTGGATTTTGTCGTATTGTTGTGTCGCCTACTTCGTCAAGTGTGAGTTCTGTCTCGTGTGTTTTGACCCTGGTTTGATGGGTCGCTAACAATTTTCCAGATCTCGACCAGACCAACGTCAGGTGCGAATCCCGTAGCTAGCTATGACCTCTTGTAACAGCTTGACTAACGCAATTCACGCAGTAATGCATACGTGTCTGGCATGAAAGAAGATTTGGACCTCACCGGCAATGATCTCAACTATCTTACAACCTTCTTCAACATCGGCTACATCATCGGCCAGCTGCCCTCCCAGTTGATTCTGACACGCATCCGCCCATCGATATGGCTTCCGTCACTGGAGCTTATCTGGAGCTTTGTCGTCATGGGCATGGCCGGTGCGAAAAACGTGCAAACTCTTTGCGCCCTGAGATTCATCACGGGCCTGCTGGAAGCATCGGCTTATCCTGGAATCATGACTCTCCTTGGCAACTGGTATACACCACAAGAACTTGGGAAGAGAGCCTGTATCTTCCAGGCTTCATCTGCTGTAGCGCAGATGTTCTCCGGCTATCTCCAGGCTGGTCTCCTTGCTGGTATGGACTACCGCAACGGAGTTCGAGCCTGGCAATGGCTTTTCATCTTTGACGGTATGAATGCTTCCTTTCACAGTTACTGTAGCACCAGCTAATAGAAATTCAGGTATCATCGGCATTCCAGTCTGTCTCTACGGCTATTGGGCTATCCCGGATCAACCGACGTCGTCTCGAGCCCGGTGGCTCAAGCCTGACGATCGCAAAATGGCCATCGGTCGCATGGAAGCTTGCGGCCGGGAACCCATCCGCAAACTCACCTGGCGCACCATCAAAGACATTGCCAAGGGCTGGCCGGTCTGGCTCTTCAGCGCCATCTTCATAGCGCATGTCCTTGGAATCCGTATCTATGCCTACTTCAACGTGTGGCTGAAATCCACAGGCCTGTTCACGCCGGAAGAAATCAATCTGATCCCCACGGCGGGCTATGGAGCACAGGTCTTCTTTACGTTGTCCTATGCGTGGGCGAGTGACGCGATTGGTCTTCGTTGGCCTCTTGTCATAGTTGCTTGTACAGTCTCCATCATTGGTACGATAATCTTGAGCGTATATCCCGAGGATAACATACCAGCTATGATGGCCGCATGGATCCTCACCTTCCTCGAGACCGGAGCCGGGGCTCTCATCATTACTTGGGTCAACGAGGTGTGTTCTCATTCTGCAGAGCACCGTGCCGTCATTATTGGCGTCGTGGAAACGGCTGCGTTCACTTTTCAGGCGTGGGTTCCACTCTTGGTGTACAACACGGGTGATGCACCCAAGTTCCCCATTGGATACGAGATGGCCACGATGTTCTTTGCGTTGGAGATTGTTCTGACTCTGGTCATTCTCTGGTGCTCGAAGAAATGGCCCGTCCAAAAGATTGAGGTAATTGACGACGAGTGATGCTCCAAGATTCCACATAGTAAACAATCTTGTCCTTCGGCTAGATGTATTTGGCCCATTAGCATGCTCAATTGAATAAAGCGTTCCTCGTAAAACACATTTCGCTGTGAGTCAGTAAGACCGGATCTCCATACCAAGGGTGAAATCTCTTCAAGGTTATGATCTTCGATGAAATCGTTCAGTCGCTGTGATCTCGGAACACTCAAAATTTGTTTCTACTGTTCCAGCCCATTGTCCAGGCCAAGACAATGTTTGGCAAACAGTCGGATCAGACTGTTGTCGCTCGAATTATCATGTACAATCAGAATATCGGACGAATCTGTGAGTCAGAGTCACAAATGAGTCATCCAGGCTTCGCTGAAAACCGGACTAAGCCTGGATAAGCCGGACACGGCGCCCCGGCGCCGAAGGCCCCCGCCTGCCGCACCTTCCATAACCAGCTCGCCGGATCGGGGCTCCGGAGTGGGACCCGTTGGTGGATATCAGCGCACTGACCATTCCAACCCCGCGTTGCCCCTCACCGTCGTCAACCGCCTAATTCCATCGCAATCCGCCGGCAACACACTACCAACGCCAACCACTTGTGCTCCATATCGCAGCACCGGACCCGACCGGACGGAAACACCACGGATCCATGTCTATCTCCCGGGCGTCAGCATCCACATTTTTCTCGGCGTTTGAGTTGCCAACAACGGCTCATCTTACGGACTTCGATAAAGAGTCACCAGGCGCGCAACCGTCGAGCATCTGACCCGATCTCACCTCTCTCAAATAACCCCACATCCAACGGCCAACATGTCTCTTAGCAACGAAGATTGGGAGGAGATCCGTCAGGAGATTCCATCGACCTCGGAACCCTTCCTGGCACAATACATCAACGGCCGCGAGGCTCTTATCGCCCAGGAGCAGAAGTCTCGCTCAGATGCCTCCTTCCGCGCCAACTCCTCGCCGATTGTGAAGCGCGCGGCTGCCATCGTTGCTCGCATCCGCGAGGAGGAGAAGAAGACGACATGGAACGCTCAGGCTGAGGAAGACCTCGCAACCAGCCAGGGTCTGGCTCCTTTCCCGGGCATGATGTTCACTCTGGCGAAGCAGCGTCTCGAGACCACAAGACTTTGGCGTATCGTGCAAAAGATGCCCAAAGGATCGCTCCTTCACGCTCATCTAGACGCCATGGTTGACTTTGATTTCCTATTTGAGGTCTTGTTGAATGAGCCAGGAATGCACTTTGCAGCGAATGAGCCTCTATCGAACGAAAAGGCGTTGGCGACTTCGGGCGTTCACTTCAGATTCAGAAACAAGGAGACCAGCTCAAGAGCAGTCTGGGACAAGGACTACGTCCCTGGCGAGTTCAGACTGTTGACCACGGCGGCGGATGAATTTCCGGATGGTGGAAGGCCAGGGTTCTTGAAATGGCTGAAGGGACGCTGCACTATCTCCTTGACGGATAGCGTGGAACAGCATCATGGCATTGACGCGATCTGGCGCAAGTTTGCCGATTGTTTCACGGTGACCAACACCATCATTCACTACGAGCCCATTCTGAGAGCGTTCCTGAGAAGACTGATGTCATCACTGCTGGCTGACGGCGTTTTCTGGGTTGAAGTCAGGTAAGAGTGCATTTTCAACCCCACGAAGGTGCATGTTCTAACGTTGTTAGATTCACTTGGCCCCTGAACTACTGCCGAACCAGCCAAGAGGAGCCCGAGAAGGACTACAACCACATGTTCCAGGTCATTGACGAAGAAGTTAAACGCTTCAAGTCAGAGAACGCCGCCTTCTGGGGTCTGCGCACCATCTGGACAACCCTTCGTATCCTTCCTACCCGCGAAATTGTCGAGAGCATGGACAACTGCATCACCACCAAGATGGCTTGGCCTCACCTTATCGCAGGCTACGATCTCGTTGGGCAGGAGGATCTGGGACGACCCCTCCGCGATCTGCTCCCCGAACTCTTTTGGTTCCGCAAGCAGTGCGCCCAGGAAGGCGTCAACCTTCCCTTCTTCTTCCACGCCGGTGAGACGCTCGGCGACGGCGACGCGACGGATCAGAACCTCTTCGATGCCGTGCTACTCGGCACGCGCCGTATTGGTCACGGCTTCTCGCTGTACAAGCACCCGCTGCTCATTGACATGGTCAAGGATAAGCGCATCCTCGTAGAAAGTTGCCCGATCAGCAACGAGGTCCTTCGCCTCTGCGGCTCCATCATGTCGCACCCGCTCCCGGCGCTCTTGGCCCGTGGCGTGTCCTGCGCGCTGTGCAACGACGACCCGGCCATGCTGGGTCAAGACACGGAGGGTATGTCCCACGATTACTGGCAGGCGCTGCAAGGATGGGAGAATGTTGGCCTTGAGGGCCTCGGCTCGCTGGCGGAAAACAGCGTGCGGTGGTCCGCGTTCGAGGATGAGACGCCGGCGGAATGGACCGCTGGTGTCAAGGAGGCAAGCCTTGGTTCTGGTGTCAAGGCTGAGCGGCTTAAGCAGTGGTCGACCGAGTGGGAGAAGTTCTGTCTCTGGATCGTCGAGGAGTTCGGTGAAGAGTCCGACAAGGCGTAAGAGATGGGGGGGCCGGGTACTTCAACCGTCATGACAAGAGAGAGTGATCATTCAACAAAGAAATTAAAGGGGCGGGCGGACTAGAGGAACGTTAATTGAAGGGGAAAAGGCAACGGAATTTAGCATGTCTACAGCGGAGTTCAACAGTAATGGAGCTACATCAACTGGCTGGTCACATTGGTTTACGACTTCAACACCGCGGATACGGGGGCATTCAACGCGGCTCTGGAAATTGGGGGGTATAAAAGATTGAAGATAACACAACATACAATAGTAAGGCTACACCGTACGATAGGCGTCCAGCTGCCTTGATGGGTATCAAATTTCCCACCGTGCAAATCAAGATTTGAAAGATGGAATGACGTTGAGATACGATGTTCAATCCCTTGGACATGTTCGATAATCACCAATCGCACGCGGAAGCTCCGAGTAAAGGGCCCTGCAGCGTGCGCGCCCACGCCAAAGGTTCCTCCTCATGCCGTCACCCGGAGCGACGGCCCATCTACCGCTTTTGGGTATCCGTACATGTGCCAGGGTTCAGCAGCAGGTGTGAAATTGGCCGACATGATGATAATTGACCAATGGGAGTTTGTTACCAGCTCGTCGGAGCGAGGGGAAATGTCAGCAAATGTAACCCCGTTTGGGAGGCGCAGCACGGGGGATGGGTGGGTTTCCTGGGACTTGGGACCATGTGCGTCAACGCACCTGCGCTAATTCATGTAGTCGGAGCCGTTTCAGGGGACTTGGTTACTGCCTTTCGAATGGTTCGTCTGGTAAGGCTGATCGATGAAGTTTGCAGCTAAACCGGCTGAAGTTCGAAGGATTCTTAGGCTTCCAGAGCACCGATTTTGGGTGGCTTCCTCCGGAGATCGGTACTTCAGCTCTTCATGAGGCCTCCTTAGATTACTGCGGGCCTTGAGAAGAGGTTCACAAATGTTCATAGGAAAATAAGATGCAATAACAGCTTTTACGATTGACGAGCTATGAAAGTTGCTGCGATACAGAGTCTTGGGACTCAGTTGGTGCTCGTGGCACGACTTGCAGCAAACGTGTGATCTAAGTCGAGAGGCAGGGCTTTGCCTAGAAGTGATTCCATGGGAGCACATACATGATGCATAATGCATGTGCTTCGCAGTCTTGTAATTGTCAAATGAGAGTGGGTCAAAAAGAGGATGCGTACCACCACACCCAAGACGATGGAGAAGGTGGGTGGGAGAAAAGAAACCGTTACGTTCGTACATGCATCAAAGACCAGATGCATCTTCCCATCCCGGTCAACCAGAACCCCATTGCGACTCCAGCCAAACTCTGAAGCTGACGGGCTCAATATCGACAGCCTCGTTGAGATTTGTTTGGCGGAAATCGTACCGACCATCAGCGGTGGCGATGAGTCTCTGGATGTTCCACCACTGGTCCCAATTTTGCCTTTGTTCGTAACTAGAGAGGTCACTCTGCAGTTTGGAGTATCGGCGGGTCCTAAGAGAGAAGGCAACTGTATGGAATTTAGTGAAATGAACCTCATGAATTTGCGCTTCAGATTAAGGGGCGGAACGAAACTCACCTCCGCGGACATTGCTGCATTTAGCAAAGATGTCCCGAACAGACATCCTGTCTCCACGCATCCTGAATTCCCTCGGCCAGGTGCCTGGACCCAGCTCGATTGCAGCAGCAACGAACCGAGCAACGTCAGCGACTGAGGTCATGGATACCTGAACTGGCCTTCCTGAGCCGTTTGTCTCGATTATGTCGGCGGTTGCGTTGCCGACGTCGACAAGGTAGCTGCCCTGACCCTGTATATGCTGGTGAGCTCCCATTCCGTACTCTGCTAGACCGCCTGGAGCAAAGCGCTCGTATAGAATTCCGCAAGAGAATACGGTGTAATCCATCTTGCGAGACTTGGAGTTGGCATAGTGTTTCAGAAGCTCAAGAGCTTCGCTGGAGCCATAGTCTAGCGGATGGTCAGATGTTGACGGTCGGTGAGAAATGCAGCCTTCGAATTCGGCGGGGACAAATAGCCGGACACGGGAATGACGGGCAGCCTTGATGAGGTTGATCTGCTCCTGTCCGCGGATGGTGGATATGACGAGGTCGATTCCCATGAGGGCGAATCTCAAGTTCTCTTCATCGTCATAGTCAACGACGGCCACTTGACACTCGTAGCGTTGTTCAAACTCTGGTTTTGGCTGGGAAGATATGAGCTACTGTCTGAAAGAGAGTAAACATTGGTATTACCTCTCTCGAGAGAACGACCAGCGCGTTTGCTGTCAGAGCGATGTTGTGAGCGAGGATAGCAGCGAAACCACCGCCTCCTGCGATTGCAATTCTCATCATAGCTGCGGCAGTATATGTGCGTTGGGAGATGATCCTGAGGAACGTTAGAGGAGATGTGCTTTGGAGGTTTTAAAGATTTCGGGTTATATGTTCGCCGCTCAAGGGGCTATTAGCGGCGGCTCGTAGAGACGACTTGCCTTGTGTACGCCATTGCTGTAACGTCGTGGCCGTGAAGTCGAATCAGAATGTCGATATCTAGTCCACACCACCTGAGAACAAAGGCAGTGACTCAAGTCGCTATCTGAATGCTACTGGTTATTGTGCTACAAGGCAACAAGACGGAAAAGCCTATCGGCTCGAGTCGAGGTCCAATCTAGAGTCGACTACGAGCCCAAACACAACTGTGAAGGCGGAAGACTCCGGTGTGCGATGGCGACGAGTCGAGAGTCCAAGTCATGTAACTATACCCTCAAGGCATCCAGAGCGGCTTCAGAGTAGTTACTGAAGATGAAGTGGGGTCCTAAACTTCGCTGTGGTGTAGATCGAGTGGTCGTAGACGAGGTAGTCAACGCGTTGCGCTCCGGAGGTGTCCTGATCATATTAGCCATGAGGCAGAATGCCGTTTTCTTAATATCATGTACCTGCCCTTGTACTGGTAGTCGTAAACTGTACTTGCTCCGGGGGCTGATTTTAAGACCTAGTCGAGAAGGAGCAGCAAGGATGCCTGGCCCTGAGAAGCGGCTGCAGGTGCACACCCATACGGACAAGAGCCGACGTCCCAACTCCTGGGTCGCGGCACAGTTCTTCTCACCCCACAGCGGGAGTGTAAGTCATCTGAAACAATTCATCTGATAGCCACAAGTATGTCGTCTGTAACGTTGCCCGAAGTCGCGTCGTCCACCCGTCGTCATCGAGGGGTACGCCATGAGTCAACCCTGGCGTGAACACGCGATCAACGTCCGGCGAGACTAGGCCGTGGGGCCTGTAATTCTAGAATGATAAGACCAAACAGATTTCGAGTTGAGACATGCGGGAGGGCGAGAAGGGCGTGGGACAAGTTGGGGACACACTGAAGGGCGCCTGGGGCTGGTCCAGGTCGAGCATGTGCGCGAGAGACACTGGTCATGGAAATTTGAGTTCGTACTCACGGCCGATGACTGAGTTGACTACATGGCAACGACAATATCTCAGTGGACAGCAAATAGGCAGGTCGAAGGTGGTGTGGTGGGATAGTCCTTTAGCCCGGAGTCCGGCATCGAATGAGAACAGAAAGTGGGTGGTCTACGGCCAGACAGGTCCACTTCACCGAGGCTCAACCGGATGAAAGATACCAAGACAATTGCAGGCAGGGGCCTTTGAGTTCTCGGAAATGTAACGGTGCTGAGCATGCCGCTGCGACAGACGATTGGAAGGTATCGACGTTGGATCGAGGGGTAGTCGTGACGAAGTGTACAACGCGTTGCGCCAGCCTGCCATTGGCGCAAATGCTGACCGGGGGAACAGGGTTCTGTGTGTATACACAGCCACGGGACTGGATGCCTAACTTTGCAGCAATTGGATCAGAGAAATTGTTCTCTGGCAAGCCGACTCAAGACGGGTACTGTTGCAGTGACCGTTGTACAATGGAGATAGTCTGGTTGGGGGCCTTTTCGGTACGTACTTCAGCCCTATGCATAATTCCTTTGTGAATGCATAAGTAAAGGAGGGATTGTGCACGAACCAAAACATCCCCGTCTGTGCGTCAAAGGACTTGCTCCCCTGCACTGCACTACGGGAACTCACTCGCATCTCACCCAATCCCCATTCGTTCATCATCCTTTCCGCTAAACCAGGTCCAGCCTCCGACAGCAGAAGAATAACTTCGCCTCCATCCATCTCATCACAGCCTCCAGGCACTCCTTTGCCTCCATCATTTCGCGCGCCGAGAGAGGGAGCCCAAGTTGACGATGACCGGCGACGATGGGGACAGCCTTTCTTCGCTGATGCGCAACTTTCAAGCAGTTATCAGACGACCATGACTTTTGCGAGTAACCTAGATGGATTCTACTCGACGATGAAGACCATGAGCGAACCTCAGAGGATTAGCCTGCCGACTCTCCTCGAATCGAATCAACCCAACGCCATGCCCCCCACCTGTATCCATGCCTCAGCTGCTCTCCCGCCAAGATATATGGTCAATTCCAGCGGACAGGATGCGGCCAAACCACCTTATTATCTGATACAACGAGGGCCGGAGTGGCTATTACTGGCTCACTCTTATTTAATTATTGACCGAGGCCAAAGTTCTCCGTTTAGGCAAACCGCAACGGTAGGCAAACTTGTTAAGACCGACGTTGTGCGACTGGTGTTACGTGGGCCCATGGCGGGCCCATGGCTCTGACCAACGTCATCCGACCCTTCTTTTCCACCCCTCGACTACGAGCTGCCGAAGTCGTCATGATATAGGAGGCAGCCATCGCCGTCAAGAATTCCTACTTTTACTCAGCCAGACCTGGCTGACCGAGACTTTGGCTGCCTGCCGGATGACGTTGGGCTGACCTTTGATGGAGCTCAAGTATTCGCACGCGACCATATTGCGAACGCTATCTGGACGAGGTCAATATCACAAGAAAAGCGCCTGCGCAGCACGAGAACCCCGTTGGGGTATTTCAGAAGGGTTGCCTGAAAACGCATAGCCCGCCTTGAGACTATGAACCCGCAGTTTTGGAGACGTAATATCGGAAGCCCTTGGTTGTAACGGCTGGGCAATGCCAGTCCTCCGAGAGATGTCATACTGGTCGTCCGTGATGAGCCTTCTTATTCGCCAGAAGGCGCGGACGAAGTCGGTTGACATCGTTGACTTGCCTTGAATACGAGGTGCTTAGGCTATTTCCATTTGTTGTGTGCATGGCATTCGTTTCAAGTTGGAGTTGGCAACGGTTCGCGGATGCAAGATCCGACAAGCATCAGAGAATGATCGGATACAGGACGCCTGTGCCCCAGACTCTTACTGGTCCACCTGGAGCCGCAACACATGCCACGAGAACCCCCTTGGGAAGAGATTCGAGGGCACGAAAAGCCGGCACTTTGAGCGATCTAAACTTAACTGGTTCTGGACTGCAGACCTGTACGACTCGACGAAACAGAGCTGCATGTCAAGCTGGCCAATCACAGGCCCACGGTCGGCTCTCTGGGGATGACTCCGGTGATTCACGCAGCGGCATGCACGGTATTTCTCACGTGGGGGTGCAGGCAGAAGGCCAGGCAAACAAGTCCATTGTCCCGGTGTTTGAACTCTCGATTTCAATTGCGACCTTCGAGGAAGTCCTTTGCAAAAAAAAGACACTGGAGGGAAGAGTACTGGTGTTGAAGGAAGACGATGAATGGTGAAGGGAACCAACCTCTCAGTGTTCAGGGTTCAGGGATAGACCCACCTTCTAAATATGGCTAGTGTGTTGCAATCCTGCCCTCCCGCCTTCACCTCGGTGAGCACCACCCGGAAGAACCTTTGCTCCGCTGCCCTAATTTTTTTTCGCGGGCATTTTCCAGCCCACAACGAAAATCCACCTGTAGAATTTCGTGAAGTTCGGACTCCAGCGATCTCAGAAGACAAAAACCTCTCTTCCCTCACCACACCACAACCAACAGACGCAGGATCATACCTCTTTGCGTTCCACACATCCGTCCAAAATGGCTCCTCAAGCAGTATGTACATGATCACACCGCTTTGCTGTTGGCCAAGCCTCGAAAGAGGCGGCGGCGTGAAACAGTAGGCTAAGGTCATTTTTTCAACAGGCGATCAAGCGCACCGGCAAGGGCAAGGCCCAGAAGGTCACCAAGAAGGTAAGAACCCAGTCCTTTGAGACGCGATGCGATCCGGTCAACCACAGAAGGCTAACCAAATGACGCCCATCAGTTCATCATCAACGCTTCTCAGCCCGCCTCCGACAAGATTTTCGACGTCGCTGCCTTCGAGAAGTTCCTTCAGGACAAGATCAAGGTTGAGGGTCGCGTCGGCAACCTCGGCGACCAGGTCCAGATCTCCCAGCAGGGTGAGGGCAAGATCGAGATCATCGCCCACAACGAGCTCTCCGGCCGCTACCTCAAGTACCTGTGAGTATCCCCGCAACAGCTGGTACCCGCAGTCACATCACGCAGATTACTGACATTTCGTTACCCCGCAGGACCAAGAAGTTCCTCAAGAAGCAGCAGCTCCGTGACTGGCTCCGTGTCGTCTCCACCTCCAAGGGTGTCTACGAGCTCAAGTTCTTCAACGTCGTTAACGACGAGGCTGATGAGGATGACGAGTAAACGTGACCAGTAACATGGTTTCACGTGTGCATGGGTCGGGTTCAGGTTACTTGGGTCGGCATGGGCACTGTTTTTGGCAAGGTTAAAAATGGGAAATACCAAAAGTTAGCACCCTCGTGTGCTTGTTGATCTGCCACCACACATTTTCGTTCCTCGATGCATCCGTGAGAAGTATTTTTGGGTATCCTTTTACAGTCTATGATATGCGTGTGTCCACCCATGTCTATCCATGTCTCCTTTAACAAGTGTACACATTGTCTACTCTGGCAAGGCGCGCATGACACCCTCGAATGCTACCAGCGCCATCGCATTGGCAGGGAACGCCCGCAAAAAGCACGGCAAGAATCCGCGCCAGTATCCCTTCCATCCGCTCTCCCTATACACCGTGGTCGCCGCGTCCTTCCACCTCCTGAATCGCGGCGTGCCGTCGTTCAGCCCGCCTCCCAGCGGATCCGTCATAATGCGCTGCTTCACAACGTCCGACGGGTAACTCGTCAGCCAGAAGATCTGAGCACTCAGTCCTCCAGCCCAGAAGTTTATCGCCGGCGCGCTCAGCTTCGTGTTGTCCTTCATCCACCTCGAGAAGACGTCGTAACTGCCCCACCAGCAGAAGAAGAAACCCCTGAAAAGCAGCGTCGCGCTGAGACCGTGGTAGACGCCGCGGATGCCGTGGTGCGAGTAGATCTTCTTCAGGCAGTCGACGGGCCCGCTGTACAGTCGCTCGGCCTTGTTGGCGGCGTACTGGATCTGCAGGCGCGCCTTGACGTGCTCGACGGGCGCCGCGATGAAGCTGACGGTGCTGCCGGCCATGATGCCCGCGATGCCGTGTCCGTACGAGGGCAGGTTCTCGGGACCGGGGAGTTTGAAGAGGCGTTCGGCGACGAGGCGGCGGTAGACCGTCAGGGAGCCGAGCATGACGGAGTCCATGAACATCCAGCCGACGAGAGGCGGCGTGGCGCCTTTGTAGAGACCCGGAATTCCCTCATTGCGCAGTGTCTGGCCGACGCATTGGAGAGGTCCGCTGAAGCGGGAGGTGTCTGTCGTTTGGAGACGGACCTTGATTGTGTCAAAAGGGTGGCCGACTTCGCAGTGTCAGTGATTGAGACGAGCTGGCGACGCCGTGAGTAGTGAGTGACCAACCTGAGAGTTTCGCGATGCCGGAGAACACGCCGGCAACGAAGCCTTTGTAGTTCTTCACTTCGGGCTTGGGCGCCTGCTCCTGCCTTTGCCTCACGTCTGCAGCCATCTTGTCTGAGAGGGTGAGAGCAGTGCGATTGCGGAGTGAGAATTCGAGTGACCGGCAGGGATCCCAATTTATTTTATCGTCACTTTCCGTCGAGCCGGCGGAAGATTCCGAGGGCTTTACAGGAGAGAATTTGTCTCCTGGTTACCGCAGTGGCTATCACACAATATCCATTGCAACTTTGCGATCAATCGAGAACGTCGTATACACCTTAAGTTATTAACTCCGTCGTCATGAATCATGAAGCTCTTTGGCTCGCTAAACAAAAGGAACCGACTCCGGGGTCGGATAAGCTTGTATCGGACCGACGCTATGGATAGATAGATACGGATGGTGTAATCGCATACACATCTAGCCTCATTGGCCCGTTCGTTCAACGCGTCATTGCTTTGCTGCGCGCCGCAAATAATCTAATGAAGCTGCTTCAGCGGCGATGGGATATCGTCGAGTCGGGGAAATGAGCCCCATACCGATATCTCCGCCGTCCATCCCGGCACCTCGTAGCCACGATGTTGTCCGACTGGTCCCGGCCGGTACACCCAGGTCCTTTCCGACTTGGGATGAACCGTTGATGTAAGCATCAATTCGACTTCAATCTTGGGTATGACTGCAGCGACGGAACTCAACTGCTTGATCATTTCGAGATGGATATGACCGGGCACTGATGTTTGCTGAGACAGTGGGATTTCGAGTCGAACATGGAACTGCTTAATATTTTTGAGTGATGTGAGCCTTTGACATGCTCCAGCCCAGCTGGCGAGAATTTTCTTCCGGGATGATGGCTTGAATGCGCCGTCGCTACTAAGCTTGACATCAAGTGACACTTTGTTGAGGCGAGACGAGAGGCCATTTGCCAAAACCCCATTGGAAACTCTGTCTAAAAATAATTCAAGCGAGAAGAAATCTTGAATTGCAAGGGAATGGTCGCAGTGAGGTGCGACATCTTCGTACATCCGTCGGCATACAAGGAAAAGAGGGAGTGGGTAGATGATTTGATCGTGAGGGCGCCTGATCAAGTCCAGGACAGACTTGTAAAACGCGTTCCCGTCGTCGAATCTTTCGGCTTTGAAACGTGCAGCGAAACGTTGTGCCCTGATCTCGGTTCCCTTATCGTCGAATATGCCGTTGCATGCGATTCGTTTCAATTGTTGAGGGCTTCTGGAGGGGATATTGCCGATATCGTTGAATGAGGGTATGCCTCCGACATCAGTATAGATGAGCTGTGGTGAGTTGATACGAGGAAATGCGAGTTCGTAGATTTCAATTCGGATTTCCCAGGGGAGATGAAAGAATGGCGCTTGCTCCTGATGATCTAGCGCAGCATCAATCGCAGAAGAATCGGTGGCCACGGGGAGTTGTTCCGTCATGGCTTTGTGGTCACAGAATAGACGATGTCCGGGATTCAGTTAGTTCATGGTATAATGCAGCGAGCTTGGCTGCTGGAATATTTAAGTATAATTGCGCTGTAGCGCCGCAGGGCTGGTCATGGCGATGGCTACACCAGAAAGAAAAGTGCAGATCTATATCCGAAAATACCTAGCCTAAGATAAATGACGAGATGATCTTGTTGGTTCTATCAAAGAGCCAGAGGGGATCGCAGAGCTTGGATGCTCCTAACCGGGGTCCATCCCACTACTTTTGATGCATTTAAACAGAATAAGGACCGTTCGGTGGACCGTGCGGAGGTACGCGAGACGTTTTGGGGGAATGACAGGGGTCCAGAGCTTACCCCCCGATTTTGAGAGCTCCTGCCTCAGCGTTCAGACTGACGTCACGTGGAGCTGACGTCCATTCACTGAAGCAAGCACCAGTCAACCCCGTCTGGCCAGGACAGGAACTTCGGTCCATCACACCTTCGAGGTCGCAAGGTCACCCCAAACTTTCCCCAAACATTGCGACTGTTGACCAAACCCCACGATGAAAGCGATCTACGCCGTTCCGGCGACTTTTGTCCTCGTCTATAGAGCCTGGTCGCACCAGTCGCTGACCCCCGCAGGCATTGTGGCAGCTGTCATTACTGCCATTGCTCACGCCTACCACCCATGGAACCTGCCTTTCGCCCTGCTGTGCGTGTTCTTTCTCGCTGGTACAAGGGCCACTAAGGTATGCGCGCTGCTTCTGTGGAGTGGCAAGTTCTCACAAGCAGCAGGTCAAGAAGGATATCAAGGCCACTTTGACGGTCGCTTCCCAAGGCACGCCGGGAGGTGAAGGCCCGCGAACCCATGTCCAAGGTCAGTCAGAACGTTCCCAAAAGCCCTTTTGAGTATGCGAACCGATCTAATACTTGGCAATACAGTCTTCGCGAACTCCCTCATGGCCTCGTGCCTGTCCCTTCTTCACGCCTACCAACTCAACAAGCGAAAGGATGCGATCCTGGACACCACGACCCCGAACCCCTCCGGTACCCTCTGCTTCTCCTGGGGAGGAGACCTCCTTGTCATCGGTATCATTGCAAACTACGCCGCCGTTGCCGCCGACACTTTCAGTTCTGAGCTGGGCATTCTGGCCAAGAGCGAACCTCGACTGATTACATCCCCTACCTTCCGCAAGGTCCCGCGGGGCACGAATGGAGGTGTGACGCCATTGGGAATAGCAGCTGGAGCCCTCGGATCTATGATCATTGTCACCACTTCGATGGTCTTCCTCCCTCTTTGCGGCGAAGGCACTGCTGGGAAGGTCGGCAGTGGACTCAGTGGCTGGACGACGCAGCAGCGGTCGACACTCATGCTCGGCCTGACTGCCTGGGGCGTCCTTGGCAGTCTCCTCGACAGTGTACTCGGCGCCGTCTTCCAGCGCTCTGTCAAAGATGTGCGATCTGGCAAGATTGTCGAGGGCGAGGGCGGCACCAAGGTTCTGATCTCCGGCGACTCGTCGGACCACGCCGATAAGAACCAGAAGCGCGCCGCGGTCAAGGCTGCGTTGCTCCACGGAGAAGGCAAGGCCGCTGTGGAGAAAATGGAGAAGACGGACAGCGCCATTGAGGACATTGACGCCCCTGAGATGAGTGCAGACGCCACGAGATATGATCCCAAGGACAAGCACCGCAAGTCTAGCTTCGGCGACGCGCAGCCTTCGCGTGTGATTGAGACTGGATGGGATCTCCTGGACAACAATGATGTCAATTTCCTGATGGCATTCACGATGAGCATGGGTGCGATGGGAGTGGCCGGCTGGTATTGGGGTGTGCCACTGGAGAGCATCTTGGACGCCTAGACTTGTATTATAGCGTGATGAATAAAGTGTACATTTGGCAATATTTCCTGCGCTTACGCTTGCGACAGTAGATCGCCATGCGTAACTGCGAGAGCAACAGTGTCCAACTTATTGAGCTATCTCGTCGCATTTCCCGGGGCATCCTCAATCTCAAGACCTGGGCGCGTAAGGATTCAGATCATCGTTTGAGCAAGACGAATTGCGAAGGCAAGCAGCAGAGATGGCATTCGCAAAACGTACGCCACTGCAGAAAGCGCACGAGTGACCAGTGGAAGTAAAGATGTCTTCCCGCGAGAGGGCTCGTCGCAGCTCTTGTCAGGGTACAATCGTGGAGTGCGGAGAGTAGAGAGTAAACACCACAAAGGTGCGAACTTACGCGTCACGACAGTACATCATAATGACTTGCGACAATCTCCTTCGTTCAGCAGCGCATCGCGCAAGCGCACTTTATTGACCTCCACGCGCAGGTGAAATAGCATGGATCAATAGCATCAAAGGGTCAAAAGAGTTCACCCACCGGTGTGGGCTACATCTCTTGGTGCTTATGCTGGGATATCTTCATCGCTCGGATCGGTGTGGCATTACTCGGATCGGTGAGGTATCGGTCGGTCGGGGGGGTAGCCTGTCGTCGAGTAGGCTTCGATCGGGATTCGAACGGTCGACCTTGGCGATTCACCAGCTAGTTTGACCTGACTTGTCCCGCCTGACCAAGATGCCTTCTAGTGGTGAAAGTCTCTAGACGATTTGGAACAAAGTAGGGCAGGGTGCGCTTCTGTTGATTCTACGGTAGCGAGGGCGCGTGACGCGCGGAAGGTTGGGATGAAAAAGGTGAAGGTGAATATGAGGTGAGGCGGGCGTGGAAGGGAAGGAGCGGATCCAGGGGCACGCCTTCCTCACCGGGAACCGCAAGTGAAATCTAGAGACCACAAGTGCGGGACGGAAGACACGACTGGAATCTCCTCTCTGCAACATCTGCCCTTCACCCCTTCACCTGCTCCAACACCCTCTTCACAACCTCAAAGTCCCTTTCGACATCGACCCTCCAGCTGCCCACCGCAACCCGGACCGCCTTCTTCCCCTTCCAGCTGGTCCCGCTAACGTACATCTCCCTCGTGCCGTTAATCCGTCCGACAAGTTCCTCATTGACACTCTCATCCTTCGCGCGGAACAGGACCACCATATGCGTTGTGTCCTCCACGCTCCAAGCCCCCTCCGGCAGCAACTCGTACGCCTCCGACTCGCGGATCCACGACGCAATCTTCCTCGCCAGCAGGACCATCCTTCCCAGAATCGCGGCGAGACCTTGGCGTCCTTCGGAGCGGAGCACGGCGTAGGCGGGCAGCGCGCGGAAGCGGCGCGAGTTCTCGAGGCCGATGTTGAGCGGGGACGGTATGCTGGAGGGGCCCGAGGAGAGATACGCCGCGTTGGGATTGGTGAAGACGGACGTCAGAGTTTCGAGGGACCGCGTGAAGAACATGCCGCAATCGTAAGGCTTGGCGGACACAGTTAGTGTCTCTTTGGTTTTCGGAAAAGGGGGTAAGAGGCTGATATAACGTACCACGTTCAGAAGCTTATGCCCGTCCACCGTAATGCTGTCTGCGAGTTCCAACCCGGCCGCCATGTCCTTGATCTTGGCAAACTCGGGGCTGTCGTCCAACGCCCGCGCAAAGATGCCAAAAGCTGGACCCATCAGCATCGCCTTCCAGACGTCACTCAGGGGTTGGGGATACGTTACCTCCATCCACATGGATCCAAGCTCCAAACCGGTCCGCCAGCTCTCTCAACTTCTTCATCTCCTCGAATCCAGTCGCGAACCGCCCAGTGTTCACCTCTCCCGCGCTGACAGCAATGATACTCGCCACGCCCTCCCGGCCTAACTCCCTCTCGACAACCTCCAAATCCAACCTCCATGGCTGGTCGTCACTCACCCTGACTTCCTTCACACCCCCTCTGCCCAGCCCGACAACGCTGGCCGCCTTGAACAGCGAGCTGTGCCCCATGCTGGTCAACACCTGAATCTCCCTGACCCCCGCCGCCGCACACGCCCCCAGAATCCCCATCTCGCCCACATTCCCCCCGCGCCGCGCGACAACCGCCTCCCGCCCGCACGCGAGACCAAGGACGTTACTCGCCGTCGCCCCCGTCGTGAACGTTCGCCCCTTCCACACCTCTTCCTCTCCAGGCTGCTCCAGCGCAAGCACGTCCGCCAGCATCCGCAGCGCCACGCTCTCCAGCTCCGTCGCCACCGTCTGGCCCGGCAGATGCACCTGCACGTTCTGGTCGAACGCCGTGACGATGTTGTCCGCGGCCTCGGCCACAGGCAGCGTCCCGCCCGTCACGAAGCCGTAGTACCGCCCGCTCCGCGCCTGGCCGTTCAGCCCGGGCACGATCTCGTTCAGGATATGCGCGAGCGTCGCCTCGGTGCCCAGGGGCGCGAGGTATCCCGCGTCGCCGGGCCGGGGGAGAGACTTGGAGGCGGCCGAGAGCGCCGTCGCGGGCGGGAGGGTCGCGGCCTGGTCGTCGTCCGGGAGGGCGGCGCGGAGCCGGGCGTGGAATTCAGGGGATGCCATGATGGTTGTTGAATGAGTGAGTTCTCGACTGGATGTTGATGACTGGATGTTGATGACTGGCGTGGCGTGTGGTACGTGAAAATCAGGATGTATTACCAAACAGCGAACGAGCAGCGCTTATGTGACGACGAGCCAGCTTCGGGAGCCATCCGAAGGAACCGCCGGGGTTTGAGTCATTACGGGATTTGAAGTCGGTGAACCGGGGCCCGGCAAGGTCCATGTGGGGAGGTCGTAAGCACCGATCCGATCCGGGTCTAGTGTGGCCCGGCTTTGCCCGGGAATTCCGATCTCGGGACCGTCTGGGAACCCCCGTGTGGGTGGAAACTCGAGTTCCCCGCGGGCCACTCTGCGAACGTACGCAGTTCACGACAAACCATATCAACTAAACTCTAATGGTAAAATCAGATGGCAGAAAACTGTCGACATATACACGGGAACCAAAACGGAGAATGTGAAAAAAAAAGTTGACGTATCCACAGGGAGATCCCTCGTTATCATGTGGACACCAATGGCCATGGGATGTAGATCTCCAGCGTCCCAAATCGACGTTATCTTACAAAAAGGACATTTATGTACAAGAAAAACCCATCACGACCGGCGCCTCTCACATGTGTCTTGCGCTGAGGCTGGCGAAGGCGTCAGGGCTGTGTCGGCCGTTTGTCCATTGCATATCCGTAAAAGCCATACTCTCCCGGCTCACGCCAGTCCTGCGCGGACCAACGTCCTTCTGGGTCATGACGGGCGAAGTCGGTCCGTTAGACAAAAAGGGGTTCTTGGTCCCTGCAGCTGGTCCGTTGGCTTCTTGGCCGGCCTGGGGAGCCACAGCGTTCTCTGCCTGTACAGGTTCCTGCGGCTGCTGCTGGAACGGCTGAGGGGCCAGCTGCGGCATGTTGTACAGCGCCAGAATAGAGGCCTTGTCAGGTCTCTGAGGCTGTTGCGGCTGCTGGTACAAGGGCTGCTGAGCGGGTGCCTGCACCTGTTGTTGCTGAGAAAAGTCTTGTCCTGGCCACTGGTGCTGCTGTTGCTGCTGCTGTTGTTGCTGAGGTACCTCCTGCTGCTGGACTTGCGGCTGCTGCGGCGGTTGCTGCTGCCATGGTGACTGCTGCTGGAACGGTGACGACTGCAGAGCTTGTTGCTGGAAGGGCTGCGACTGAAACGGCTGCGACTGGAAGGGCTGCTGCTGGAAGGGCTGCTGGTGCTGTTGCGGTGTAGGCATTTGCTGCTGCCTTGTCGGCTGCGAGGCCATCTGTGAGAAGAAGGGGTTGGTGTTCTGCGGCGAGAGCGGTCGCGGCGACGTGGTGTAGAAGTTCGACTGTGTCTGCTCGGGGATCTGGCCCAATGATGGAGATTGGATTCTCGTGGGCGATCGAGCGAAGGGGTTGTTTGCGAACGCGCCGGTCGTGTTCACGGCCAGACTCTGCTGCGGAGCAGGCTGCGTCTGGTTCGTGAAGAACGGGTTGTAGCCCGTCGACTGAGGCTGGATCGGTTGAGGCTGAGGATATGTCATATTACTATTAAAGTTGATATGGCTGTAGTTCTGCTGCGCTTGCGGTGCCGGTGGTGTCATGGACTGCTGATACATCTGCTGCTGAGGCTGAGCAAACGGCGGCTGGGACGCTGGAAGACCGCCTGTGTGATGCGGGAATAAGGGTTGAGCGGGCGCCAAAGACATGTTGCTGAAAGCCTGGTTGAAGTCTTGCTGAGTCTGACTGGGGGCCCCGAAAGGGTTGTTGGCGTAGGGATTCTTGTTGGCCAAAGTTCCAGTTGACTGAGAAGACTGGGGTTGAGGCGGGAGCAAGTCGAATGGATTGTTGCTAGAGGCCGTCGAGGGTGACTGTGGGTGGTCGCTGAATGTTTGCTGCGGCGCTGAGAGACCGCTTGATGTCGACGACAAGTTGGCGTGCGAACGCGTTGCGCGCAAAGAGCTCTCGCGAGGACCCGTCAGAGATGGAGACCTCCTATCAGTCTCACCCAGACGCACCAGCGTCTCAATGGCTCGCTCTAAATTGCCGTTGACGCCCTTGAGCACCGCAGCGTTCCGTTGATTGTCCGGGAACCCCATATCCCTGAGGCTGGCCAGCTTTCGCTCGGTGTCCTCTTGCTCGTACTGAACGCTCAGGCCAAAGACCTTGGACGGTTTATTGGGGAGTTCGCTGGGCGACGGGCTTCGGGGCATATCTCTAGGGTTCGAAGCGTTGCGCATCGCGGCCTCTTTCTTGGAGCGGGACGACAACGGGAAGATGGACGAAGCAGATCTGAATCCGAACTTGCCTCCCGCCTTGGGGGGCAGAGGTGGCGGGACACCTTCGTCTGAGAGACCCGAGTGTTGTTTTCTCGCAGGAGCCGGGTTGTTGTTCATGTACTTGGATCGGATAAATCGCTCCATCGCGGAGTCGGCCTCATCGGCGTCGACTGGGACTGGTGGTTTCTTGTTGTCTGGGTTATAGATTCCGTTGGATCTGACGTTGCCGACTTTCTTCATATTCTACAGATGCGCCGCGTTAGGTGCGACAGCCACATAATAACGAGCACAAGGTGGACAAACCTCGACTTGCTCATTGGACCAACTGTCCATGCTCAAGGATTTCACCTTGGAGATGTGCGTACCCAACTTTCGATGGATAGCGGCACATCTCATGCAAAGGAATACGCCTAGCTGTGCACCCTGTCAGTATTGGTCCGTTATATGCCGCATCGTCGTCTATCGGAACGGGGTCGCATCGATAGGGCGCGGAAGGGGTTGGCGGTGCTTACACTCCATGAGGCCCATGCTGCGAAGTGCTGTCAGTATCGAGAACCGGTCTGAGCGGAAGGGCACTGTTGCACCTACCTGGGTTTCGTGCTTGACAGTCGGCGCAGAAGTTGTTTCCCGGGACCGTCTGGACCAGATCGTGCAGGACTTTTTCGTTACGCGCCTGCTGGCGCTTGCTGAGGACGCCCGTCATTCTGGAGAATGTAGTGCAACGGTCGACGTTGGGGGCAGGTTTGGCGCGCGCGCAGTTCGGTGGGATTCGTGGGAAACAAGTTTGGATTGGGCGAAGGCGCGGTTCCTTGGGATTGGAAGGTAGATCGAGGGGTTGTCGGGCGAGCCAGGGACGGCGGCAGGTAATTGGGCAGAAAGATGGGATGAGGAAGGGGTATTAAGAAGCAAGGTGTACCATGGAAATTATGCACTGGGGAAGATGGAACCCGATGTCGAAGGAGGAAAGGGAACCGCGACGACAACCATGGCCTCCGTCATGCGTCGGGAAGGCTGAGTACTGTGTCGAGTTCGAGACGAGTCGAGTCGTATCTGAGACCGGTTCGATGGCAGCGAATCAGTATTGTGGAGGAGGGCCAAGGGAGCGGAAGCAGAGGTTGTTCGTCGCAGCTGCTTTGAGTGTTTGACGACAGGCCTCGGCGCGGATGGAGCGACAGGAGAATGCCTTCGGAAGCAAAGAAAGACAGCCAGACACAAGGCACCGGTCCACCAGGTCTAGCAGATGTGCGTGTGTTTTGGTCAAAGGTGGATTGGGAGTGCGGCGTTGGAGGGTGAGCGTGGGTGGTTGTGGTTGGTGGTGCTGGTGTAATACGGCAGCGTAGTGCGCGACTCAGTACGGATAGCCGTGGGAAAAAAGGAGACGATCGATCAGCGGTACGGCAGCAGCAGCAACAGCAGCCAGAGAGCCCGGGAAGCGGAAAGCCAGACTGGATACCAGTGCAACTCGCAATGTGAGTGCTGCGAGTGCGAGGAGGGGGGAGGGAAATCGCAGGTGGAGTCGGTCTTCTAGCCGAAAGAGGATAGTGTGAATGACCTTCGTGAGTGCTGGACTGGGGCTGGGGGCGCAGGCTACCTAGGTACGGGTCTAGACAAAGAGGGGGCCCGGTGACTAAGGTAGAGTAGGTAAGGTAGGAGGAATAATCAATAATAATCAATAAAAACCACACTGGCAGCCAGGTCAGACCATGCCATCATGAAGGACACCCGTCCCGCCTGGGTAAGGTAGGCAGTCAGCACCCATTGGTATTAGCATTGGCATTGGCATTGGCACTGGCACCGGCTCAGCAGCACGGCCAGCATCAGCACCTACGAAATAAATTGAATTGGCAGCGTGGACATGGAGAGGAGCGAAGAACGCGTGGAAGTGGATAAGGTAAGAAGCAGTTCCCCACCCCATATTCGGCTGTCCGCGAATTGGCTCTCGGCTGGCCCATGTACCAGGCGTGAATGCGGATCCCTGGCCGTGTCCTCGCACCTGGTTGGCCAGCCGCAGCTCAGGATGGCTGGGGCGTTGACCCTTTCCCGCGGAAACAGGCCCGACGATTATCCGGTGAATGTGTAGGTGCTGCGGGTGCTGCCGAGAACGCGACTGGTTCTGGAATGGAGGGCAGGGATGTTCAAGGTTGTCTTCAAGTCTGCGCTCCACCGCATCTGAGCCTTCTCAGGGGTCCCTCTCTCTCTAGACATCTTTCACATGAATTTTCTTTTTTTACGCTGTTGTTGCTTTCGGGGTCCTGCCGGGTTTGGGGGTCAACCGGGCATGGCAATTGCCCACGGTCATATCGAGTGTTGATTCGCGTTTCCAGACCTACGGGACCTGTTTGATTGGGTCGTCGTTTCAGCTGCTGCAACTCGCCTTGTGCAACGGCCTCGCGACTGCAGATTGCAAGACAGAATGACATAAGATGCCGTCTGACCTCATCGCTCTGACAAGTCGGCATACATACGCTGCCGATATCTCACCCTGTGATTCCGAGATATTACTCAGCTGCCAATATCCAACTTGACACCAGCTTGCCGTGTTAGCCAACAACGTCCGGTGTCTCCGAGGGACAAGCGTGTCTCTGTTTGATGATGCGGCTGTCTCGGTCTCTGCAGACAAGAAAACGACCCAGAAAATGACTATCCGCTGTTGCCGGTGTATGGGTAGGCAGGGCAGGTACTGCAGGTTTGTTATCGTGACATCGGGGCCCTCTCGCAGCCGTTTCAACGCTTTGTCCCCGAGCTTCCATCTCGATGGAGGGAACCTGGCTGGCGTATATGCATGCATAGTACGAAGTAGAGCCTACTTGCAGTCACAACCAAAGACCGTGGGCTCGAAACTGTGTCTGGTGGGTTCAACTCGGCGTTCTGGGGCGACCTGGTCAATACCGGCGATAGATAATCTTATATGCTAAGGCGGAGCTTCACTAGACAGGGCTGATGGCTCCGATCGGCACAAGCGGAATGCCGGTCCGCGTGATCGAATAGGTTACGACCAAGTTTCCAGCGAGCGGGAGTACGCGGATGTCGCGCTCGCGCCCGTACCCGTGGGTTGGACAGGGCAGGCGGGCACTGCGTAGCGAACCGTCTCACAAACGCCCGGACGGCGACGGACGACACTAGCTGCCGACCTTCTTATCTAAGCAATCCATGGGCACCAATATCGGGGACCCCAGATAAGGCACCTGAGATCCAACAGACTGCCTGCGTAAGGTAGTACGAACAAGAAAGGCTTTGAAGTGTTTAGGAGACTAAAAGAATGCAGTAATGTGGGTAAAGTCCGAACTGGCCATTGCATCTGTAAATAGCCAGCCTACCTGTAGCGTCAACGGGTCTCATCGTGAATTATTGGTTGGCAGCCATCTCACCACTATCGAGTGTAGGGAAGTGCAAGGGGAAGAAGAACCCCAGCCTCATCAGCTGCATCCACTTTCTGAGCACCTGCCACCGCAGAGTGCTGGCTCTCGCCCTGCTGTCTCGCGCCCGCGCCCGTCCGCGGCTTACCGCACCACCTCGCACAGCCCGTCCGTCTGTCGTTTGCTTGTCGCAGACTCGCAGTACCTGAGGTGGAGGTGGTGAGTTCCATGAGTTGAGGGTGCCAGTGGTGTCCAGTGAATGTCCCCCCTCACCTCCCGTCTCCGCTTATTCCTCCCAGCAGGCAGCCAGTCACCTGCCGTGGAATCGCTCCGAATGACGTTCCGCCCCCAACCAACTGTCAAGGGTACTCCTGCTGCTGTGGCTGGGCTGGCTGAGGTGTCCAAAACGACCTCCCACCCACCCACCAGTAGCACACCTCCCTCACCTATCCGCGTACCTTACGGCGCCTTGTGCCTTGTGCTAACTGCTGCTGGGCCTGCTAACTGCTGCAACCTAAGCTCCGGACAGGGGTGTCACATCCCGTCCCCGTCCCCGTCCCGTCTTCTCACCTTTCTCCGCCTGCCTCGCCATTTGCCTTACCTTACTCCCTCCCTCAGCAATTGATTTCATATTTATCCCCTCTCTTCCGCAGCATGTGCCTTCACTAGTGTTGTGGTTTCCGCGACCTTACTTCGACCGAACCGCAGTCACCTCACGCCGTCTCCAGACGTCAGCGCCACCTCAAGCTCCCGCCCCAATTCGAAAAAATGGCGGGCATTGAGCAGTTGGAGATCCATAGCAAGGTACGTGAGTCGTCATTGCCCGGCCCTCTCTCCTCCGTGCCGTCTTCAGTTCGACTCCCCTCGGCCTATCTCCAAGCTAACAGCTGCTCTCTATCACCAGTCCTACATCGTCCGTTGGGTCAAAGTCGACGAAGGCCATACCATATCCTGGAGCGTTCAACCACACAAAAAGTCCATGTGCGTACCTCTCTCCCCTCTTCTCCTCGCTGTACTTCTCCAACTCGACACGTGCTTACCTCACGCCGAGGCAGAAACTTTGGAATCGTCAAGCATCCGGGCACCGGTGCCACCGGCTTGATTGCGAACCAGAACGACGACACCGCAACCGCCGGCGCTCTCACCTCCGGCGTAGCCGAACCCAAGGGTCGCTTTGCCAAGCGCGACTCCATCACCGCCCAAGACCAGCTCTCCAGCAAGGGCTTCATACCCGTCAAATGGCACGGGAAATGCGATGCAGACAAGGTGTCCACCGGCACCTGGGATGTCGAGAAGGGCCAGGGCGGCATGTTCGGCCTGGTATTTGACAACACCTTCTCCAAGCAGATTTCCAAGACGGCGACCTTCGTCCTTCTGACCTACCCGACCGGTGCCCCGCCCCAGACCACCGCCAACGCCTTCCCGAACCTCCAAGCTGCGAATGCGAGTGCCAGCAGAACCAGCCTACCCCAAGTGACCACCGTCACTTCCGCTTCGCAGGACAGTCTCCACAGCCATAAGACCGGTGGCGGTGTGCGACCGACGTCCGCCTCGGGACGCAGCGAGAATGCCAACTATCACACGGGTATTCTTCACAAGAGGAGGAGGAAGAAGGGCCAAGGATATGCGCGCAGATTCTTCTCCCTCGACTACTCGTCTTGCACCTTGTCGTACTACTATAACCGCAACTCCTCGGCTCTGCGCGGTGCCATACCTCTCAGCCTCGCAGCTATTGCGGCCGACGAACGTCGCAGGGAGATCAACATTGACTCGGGTGCTGAAATTTGGCATCTGCGAGCATCCAATGCGAAGGATTTCAACGACTGGGCGCGGGCTCTGGAAAAGGCCAGCCGCGCGGCCAGAGGGTTGGAGGCCCCCGATGACCAACCGAACAATGCCAGGTCGGCGCCTTTACGAGTCAACACCACCCATCTGAAGCCAAATGCGACAAGCATGGAGGAAGACCGCGAATGGCAGCAGGTTGAGACGTTGGTCAGCCGAATGGTCGGAACCCGAGATGCCCTGCGTCGCTTGGTCAAGGACATGTCGAATCAAAGGCCTGTGAGCATGGCAGCGTCGAGCTTTCTGTCTCCCACCAGCATGGGCGAAGAGCCCGACAGCTATTTTCCCTCCCCTTCCCCTCAGGCAACCGAGCAGCAGGCACAAAGACGACCATTCTGGAAGCGCAAATCGAGTAACGCGACCCCAACAGCTACCACGCCGCAGGCGCATCAGGCATCCGCTGCGACCGCTCTGGCTGTTCCGGCCCCGAATACGGTCACGACCACCATTTCCTCTAATGGTCCTCGTCACCACCACTCCAAGTCAAAGGCCTCAATCCATGAAGAGAAGAGTACACAAGAGCATTGTGCATCACTTCTCAATGACCTTGACTCTGTGGTGTCTGAGTTCACGACGCTGATCACCAACAGCAAGCGCCGCAGAGCACCCGCTCCGCTGTCTGCCGCCCCCTCTCGCAGGAGTATGGAAACCATGTCAACGGACGAGTTCTTCGATGCCGAGGCAGGGGAGACGAGTTCGCAAATTGTCCGGATTGCTCAGAGTGAAGATGAAAGCCCGGATTCTGAGCCGGACGAGGGTAATTTGACCGATTCATCCTCGATTTCATCGGCACCAGAGTCGGATGCCGGCATTGGCCAGGATGATACGAGCTGCTACCCGGCAAAGCCCAAGAGCCTGTCGCCGCTGCCAGTTGACATTTCAATAACCAGGCGAACAAAGGTCCCGCCGGCCTTGGTTCAACCCCCGAGTTTGATCGCTTTCGTCCGGAAGAACGTCGGCAAGGATCTCAGTACTATCAGTATGCCCGTGTCTGCGAACGAGCCGATATCACTCCTGCAACGTGTAGCGGAACAGCTGGAGTATGCGCAGCTTCTCGACCAAGCTGCGCGCGCAAAGGAGCCCAAGGAACGTCTCCTGTACGTCACGGCCTTTGCCGTGTCACAATTCAGCAGCGGACGAGCCAAGGAGCGTGCTATCCGCAAGCCCTTTAACCCGCTTCTCGGAGAAACGTACGAAATGCTCCGAACAGAACAGGAGGTACCAGGAGGCTTCCGCCTGCTTGTCGAGAAGGTTTGCCATCGCCCGGTGAGGCTCGCCATGCAGGCGGATTCGGCAAACTGGTCCTTCAGCCAGTCTCCCGCGCCGTCACAAAAGTTCTGGGGCAAGAGTGCCGAAATCACCACGGAAGGCCGCGTCCGCGTCGCACTGAGACTGCCTGACGGAACAGATGAGCTGTACTCCTGGACTCATGCCACGATGTTCCTGCGCAACGTAGTCATGGGTGAGAAGTACGTTGAACCCGTTGGCGTTATGCCGATCACAAACGACACCACTGGTGCCAAGGCCTCCGTCGAATTCCGTAGCAAGGGAATGTTTGGAGGACGAGGCGAAGACGTCCAGGTGGAAACATACGGTCCGGATGGTGTCCACACTGGCAGCAGTCTGTCGGGAACGTGGACTGGCAGCCTTCGCGTTGTCGAAGCCGGCAAGGCCGCCGGTCAGGAGATCTGGCGCGTTGGCAAGCTTGTCGACAATGCCGCCAATACGTACGGTATGACGACATTTGCTGCCGCTCTGAACGAGGTCACCGATATCGAGAAGGACAGACTACCGCCAACGGACAGCAGACTGAGACCCGATCAGCGCTTGGCGGAGAAGGGAGACTTGGACCAGGCAGAGGAATGGAAGGTCAAACTCGAAGAGGCACAGCGAGCACGCCGGCGCGTGCTGGAAGAGAAGGGCGAAGAGCACAGGCCGAAGTGGTTCGTCAAGGTCGGACAAGGCCCAGAGGGCGAGGAGGTTTGGAAGCTGAGGACCGGCAAGGACTCGTACTGGGAGGAGAGGTCCAAGGGGACATGGACCGGCTTGGAGGAGATTTTCTCTGGCTAGAGAGGTTTTCAAATCAAAAGAGAAGCCAGTCGCGGCGTTTGAGACTCCCATTTTATTCCGTTCTCTGGTATAGCGTGTTCAACATGTATCATCGGCAGTTTGTCGAGTTTGGACAGTTTCGTACTGCATCGCTTATGTGAATATGACTGGACTTGAGCCATCTGGTTGATGTTACGGTACTTGATCTGCGGTCGAGTGAACCTGCCGATGTGTTTAACCTACTACTGAACGTTATCAGATCATCGCCGAGTGCGCGACAACACGCTTATCGAATACAGGCCACAGGACTGTCAGTCGGCATACCCGCATTGGAACCAGACGGGGACTACAAGCGCGAGCAAGGTTGAAAGAGATGGGAGAGCCATATTGCACACATCCGGGGGAAGATGGATGATTTCTAGACTGCGGATGAAGACATGCTTGGAGTGTTGGAACAGGAACCGGAATTGTCTCCTGTTTCCGAGTCCCTATAGCTGGAGGGACGGGGTGGGACGAGATACCTTCAGATTATCTCGATCAAGTATGACACTTCGCTCGACGAAGCAGCGGTGCGGTAAAGTCGAGAGACTGGTGTGGTTCTTGTCGAAGCAGACGTCGAGGATGAGTCTGACCTCGGTTCTCTCAGCATGGTTTCACTCAACACCTACAGTCATTACGCCAACCCCAGCCCCGGTCGTAGCCTTGGAATACCCCCTTTCGAACCTGCTTTCAGGACAGAGGTGAAGACAGCCTGGCCTCGGTTCCAGTCAAACTTTCACAACAGACAAGCTCTCGACGATTTCGAAGCTCACCGCTTCACAAGTGTCCTACGCTGTGCGGAGCAACCCGCACCAGATGAGCCTTACTGATGCGACAAAAATGAAGATGAAGGAACACAAACCTGCTTCACAAAAGGGCATCATGCCGACTTTGAAAACGTTGTCTGACATTCCGGTCTAGACTCAAATCCTCTGAAGACTTGTCCAGTCATTTGATGGTTAATAGCAGGGAGGTGGGTATGGAAACGATACCGAGCAACATGAACTACTCAGGGAGCCTGGGGGTCTTGCGGGCTTTCCGAGTATTCGTACCCACCCGCCTCGCTGAGTTTGGACTGTCAGTTTGAGTGATTCCAGGCTTGTAATTGTAACTCTTTGGTTCGCGCAACTCATTTCAACTACTTGCACGAAGAATCAGAGCGATTAAGCAATACAGTCGGACTGTGATACGTAACTCTTAACTCATCAAGCTTCTTCAACCTCATGAATGTGTTTCTATGGATCCTGACTTTGACAGAAACTTGATTGCGCCAACATTTTACGCGACAACTTATTTGCATAACAGAACGGTCGATGATTCAGACTTGCAGAATTTCTACCTCCGCCACTTGGAGCCTTCTTCTAGAAGCGCGAGCAAGTCTTTGCATTCTGTTTGTTGAACAGTCTTCGCAACCGCCCCACTTCGTTGTCGGTGAGGTCAACCCCCCCCCCCCCCGAGTTCGCATCGGGTTCGCTTTCTTCTCCGCGTAACGACAGTTGTCAGCGGGAATTACGAACAAACAAATAGGAATTAGGTTGAAACCATCGCCAAGTGTATTCCCCATTTTTGGCCTGTACGTCTACTTAAAAATTAGAGTAATAAGGCTCGGATAGAGTATGTCGGGACGTTCATTCCTGAGTCTAATAGATTGAGTTGCGAGTCAGTCGGCGCTGGCCTAGCCTCAACCAAATCAAACAGGCAACTTTTCATCGAACTGGACGATCCAACTCGTGTGTGATCCGAGCAGTGATTAGAGGAGTGCTCCGTCTTGGCGAAGATGTAAATACATCGCGCTTCCTCTCGAAATTTTGGGATCGAACATTCATCGGCTAGTCACAGTTCGTTCATCACAACTTCGCTCTCTTGTACATCCTCATAGCAAATCGGCCGAGTCTCCACCGCCAGTCACAATGCGTTTCTTCCTTGCTTTCCTCCTCGCTGCGCTGCAGATCTCCTTCGCGAGCGCCACTCTCCGATTGCAAAAGTGTGGAACCACATTCCCTACCAACGTGAGTCCTCTTCCCCTCCTCCAACTATGGCTGCGCTTTCTCAAACCCGCCCGCGCTTCTCATGACATGGAAGTTGTCAATCGGCTAACTGTGAGCGTGTTCATCAGTGGGTTTCCAACTGCAGCCCGACGGACCAGCAGGACTGCAAGACTCTTTGCGGTCAGAAGGTGAGTTCACGCAGCTGCGCGGGGCGCATCTGAGGAGCGCGTCTCGCAGGGTGCATGGTCCATCTTGGACCGAATTGTGCTGACTGGCGATCCAGTGCCGAACGGAAGGAGGACGACAAATGGCCAACGGAGCCGACTGCGATTGTTACTGCGGTCTCGCGTAATGCCCATCCTCACAGTCTTCAGCTTCCTCTTCATAGTCAATTGCTCGGCGAGAAGATTTAGCAAGACGAGTTGAATAGCAAATACCAAAAATCATTCAACACCCAGAGATGTTCAATGGATCGCGTGCTTCGTCGGAGGTGCACGTAGTTTTGAGTTTGACGGGTATCTTTTCCATGAGACCTATGCCTTTGCAAGCCAGCTAAACCAGCATGCATAGTATTACTATACTAGCTATAGAAATGTTGCAACCCTCGAGACAAATGAGAATCTGTGCTTGTCAACCAACTAATATCAGTAATCAGTTGTAAACTACACAGCTCCAACCCACCTGCCGGCCTCCTCGGCTTCCGAAAGCCTCTCCTCAATACCAATTACATACATAGTATATGGCCCGTCTGTCCAGTGCATTGAGTGACGTACATAACCACTGCGAGAACTCTTGAAGGGGCATGCTTACTTCCAGGAGCACCTTCTACCGTCTTCGCAACTCCTCACTCTCCTGAACTGATGTATTCAACATGAAACGGAAAGGCATCCTACTCAGTCCGTCTCGTCCGTTCCTTGCGCGGCAGGAAAATTTATCTGTCAAATACGGAGACAGCAACCGAATCCTCCATCGCGAGTTCCTCGCAAGTAGGATGATTCAGTTTTGCTTTCGAGCCGAAGCTACCAACACGCGAATCGACATTAGTGCGCTGGAAGCAAATGTCCCTAAGAGTTCCAGTGAACGGCAACCCTCGGCTAGCCGAATCCACAAGCGCCATCACCATCAACATAGACTCGAAGGCGTAAAACAGGTTACGCACCTCCATATTTGGTTGCGTCACGAGCTTGACTTGCGATGACACACGAATGGGCGGCCCTCAAAGCATCTTCAAATATAAGAAGAATATGCCAAAGTCAAGTGGAGGTTCACAACAACATCGAACAAATATAAACATCGGGTTCGGTCAAGTTTAGTACTAGCTAAGCATAGTTGCGACGGAGAAGTCCGGGTTCATTCTAGACGTGGCATAGTTGACGGCTTCAACCTGTAGAGCAATTGCTGTGGCTAAACGATAGAACAGCCGGAATTCCCGAGGATAGAAAATGAGGCGGGAATCTCAAAGCTGGGTGGAGGTGTCAAGATGGTATCAGTACAGCGGAACAAATCCCCCATCATCAAGTTCAGCCAAAACGCCAAAACAAAAGGGGGGTCACTGATGACTTCAGGGAGTTGGCTATCCAGATTTTCGGGCTCCTAGCTTCCTCTACCTGGCAGAAGTAGGGCCCTGAAAGCGCGTGGTTGTCCAATGTCTACGACCCGGAGACCGACGGCGGTGATGGCGGTGGTGATGGGATTGTTGAATCGCCAGCACGTCTTTCTGTAAGGCAAAAGACGTCGGCTTCGAACCAAAGTACATGCAAACATAAGTATAGGCGGAAATAAGTACGTACCGTAGAAAGTGATGAAGCCTTTTCAAGTACTTCCCTTTTCCTTAAACTCTTATAGTCCCGCGATATATGCATCCGCGGTCCGCTCAGCGGGATTGTCACGGCGTAGTTGCGAGAGTCTTATGCTCTCGATGGCAGTACTGGCTGACGCCGCGAGTGGTGAAATCGATTGCTGATGAGAGAAAAAGCGCTTCACATGCATACGATGACTCAAGATTACCTGTGTGATGGATGGGTGAACGACATCTGCAACCTACCCTTCTGGTTAAGTTTAAAGACATCTGTCACAGTTGACGGGCTGTATTAAAGTTATTACACCCACACTGTCGGGACGTTTTCAACGCCAACCTCGTTTCGTGTATGTAGTTTAGATCGAGATAGGCCGTAAAGAGCCCAGAATGCCGAAAACTTTCTAACCAGCCCTCAACTACCAGCCGAGGCGACAGGTTCATCTACAAATTTGACCCTCGCGGACTGCAAAACCGCCCATCGGGATGCCCAATCCACCTGATGTGATGTAAGGTAGTTAGCGAACGCCCTACATTAAGAGTTCTATACTCGGCGGTTCCATAGTCGTTCGCCTTAATCGGACAGAAATGAATGGCAGATAAAACCACAGGTTAGCGAAGGTCTCGTGTTCGGTACGGAGCTTCCCAGCCGCCCGGTGCCCATCCACACTCGCCCGACCTCTCGGAGAAGGCCATGTCATTGACATGCGCCCTTGTGTCGAGAATCTACCAGCCAGACTTTGCCCCCGTATCCAAGGGCACAGTCGACGGTATGCCGAGAGATCGTGCAGGTGGAAAAGAAAGATGGCTGGTGAAGCCCCATTGTCCGTCCAGTATGTACGCAAGCTAGAACCGAGCGCGATGCTCGTAAAAGTCCGTTTGAATGACCGCAGTTCCGTGGAATTGTTCCAATGTGTGGGGTGCCGACGCGGTTGGGCGGTAACGAGGGAGGTCAGTGGTCTGCGTTGCGATCAAAGCGCGAGCAAAGACCCAACCCTCTGATTCCTGGTGTCAAAGCACGGAGGGTTGACAGGAACCGACAGGGCTTTGGAATGGCTTTTCGACTAATTTCTCCCTCCGCGAACTGCTTCCACGGAGTCCATTGGCAGTAAAATCTGTGGGCGCATACAGCTTCCTTCGTGGGGCAATTGTCGGACGACGACTGCTCGTTCTCACGGAAAGGGGCTTTCCGCTGTACA